TCGTTGCAATTTTGAATTGGTATTTATAAAATCACAGAATTTGCCAAAAAGTTGTGCAACAGAGAAGAATTGAATGTTTGTTCAGTTTTAATAGGCGCGCTTTGAGCTAAGTAAGCCTGTAATATTTTTAGATGGCGTTATGCTCATTGTCAGTCTCGATCGGTTCACGAATACTAGAGAGCTGTTGCATCTCGAAGAGCATCGATAGTTTTCAGTTGTTTCGAGTATTCAGGAGAGACATATTTGCATATAAATAATGTATATCGAATTTTCGCGTTTCACACAAGCAGGTCGGTCAATCATGAATCGAAGAATCGGATTTTTAGTTTAATTGAAAAGTAAAGAAACTAAATTGCTTACTATTGTTTGCAATGTTACATGTTTCGCGACTAACTTCAATCGAACCGTAATGATCTTGATCTTTGGATGGGTTCTTTTGAAAATCTAAAAGGAATACAACAAGGTATGCTAAATATCAAATTTTTCATCTTACAACGCTTCAAACGTGATTAGTTTTACACATATTTTTATATTATTCTTGAGATTTTATACACGTTTAATTTACCAAGCAAACAAATCATTAAAATTATCACCACCGTAGATATCTAGTACTACAGTTGGCTTCTATATGTATATCGATAGAAAATACACGTTGGTTGTGTGTTATACAAAATATGAATTCAAATCGTCTACGCGTTGTAAGAAAGATGTATACGTATATATGTATACGACATACGAAAAAAATATACGTGGAAGATTTTCACAATTATTTATTAAAATGCTTTCTCTCATTTGTACGATTGCGAAAAATTCAATATTACATACTAAATGATACAGATCGTTGCAAAAATGTTACAACAGACAGGCGAGAACAGAAATACAATCAAAATACAACGAAGATAGTAATTTATATATAGTAATTGATAACACTCGTGTAGGAATTAATTATCTTTTTATATTTCCATTGCATGAATTTCTAAAAAAAAGTATATATCTCGTCGGAGATATGAGAAAAGGCAATGTGCGTATTACAATATAGTAAGTTGAATTTTCTCATAGGGAAATAATCTCGCGTATTCACACCGAGGAGGAGATGGGAAACGAAGGAGATTGTTTTCTTTAAGATGTTGATTTATTTGGAGCCCTACGGGAATATTCTTGAGGCGTTGTCCTGGTTCGTGATTCACGAATGAGCTATGTAGAGCCGTAGCCAGCTGAGAAGGTCCGGTTACTGGTTACCTGTTACCTGGACAAGTGTGCTGGCAACGACGTCTTAAAGTATCGACCGTGACAGTCGCTCGATTCCAGTCACAACTTTCAGAATGATGGATTTCCAACAAAAATTCAACACCACCACTTCCTTTCCTTTTTTCTCTCTGCTAACGCAGCATCTGTTATCGAAAAAAAAAAAAAACATGTAGAACTCTGAATATTGTTACATATTTATAAAGGTGAGGTTAAAATTTTACAAACTTTTCTCTTCCTACGGTTAGTCGTTTTGTTACGAGTTTCGGGATAGAGATCGTTTAAAAGAGTAACAATGTAGAAACGCTGTTATTTCGTTCACAAGTACCGAGGTGAATGAATCAATTAACGAGTGAATCATATTCTCCGGCAACATTAACGCGACCGTAGACTGTACAATTGAAACTGTCCCTAAAACATATCTCCAAAATTCGATACGTAAGTTATTGAAATGTGAACGATTTTGCGACACGATAGGATAGAATTAAAGGTTCAACGAACCGTGGGTCTCGCGCTCGGTAAAACTAATTCCGTTGATTACGGTGACAATAAAGCAGGAAAGAGGATATTTTACATGCTATCTCGCTACCTACCAGATAAGAATATAATTTGAATCGTTATTGAACATTAGCGGATGCTAATGAACGATAACTGCTGCAACACTTGTCCGTTTTTAAGTATAATAACAGTGCTTGATAAGATTGTTTCAATAAACTTTTGCCGCTGCCAATTTTAACGTATGCAGGATATAATTTTCTTATTTACCTACGTTACACTATTCTCATTAAGCGCTGAGATATCCGGTCTTTAAAAATAATCGAAGCTCGCAAATTGTTCTTAGCATTGCATCGTTAATCATTCCTAACAATAGGTATAACACCGTTGGCAAAGCTCTAGCTTATTTTAGCTTATTTTCTTCAACGGTCCAGCATTGAAAAGTAACTCTTTGTACAATTAACTTGGAGATCTACCGTATTTTACTCGATAATCGTTCAATCATGTCGGTTACATCGACGTTTCGCAATCTTCTCCGATATGTCCAGAATGGTGAGTGGTGTGCGTATGCACGTAAGTATGTACATATGTATGCGCAGTAGGTTTTGGGCTGTTCGTACCGGAGAAATAGAGAGGAACGTGTATAAATAATTTGACGTGATCTAGTGGAACAGCAGGCATCGTAGGATCGGGGATGCGTTGCATCGGGATACGATAAAGATATTTGGCTAGCAGGTCAAGCGAATGTAGGACAGGTTCAGACAGTTGGAGAGGAAAAGCATCGGCCCACTTTGTTCGTGGGACGAGACTACTATAGCAGAGATCGTGGCAATTTACACGTGTTTCAATAAACGTTACACGCGATTACCTCGTTGTTTTTCTACGTCGATAAGTAGGAATTTTCTTGTTGCAGCAGTTAATCTTAATCGTCGCAAAATGACTTCGAGCGAAGACGGTGATCTGATCGATCTCGGGAACGAGAGTTGCGTGCCACGTGTGCCGATACAAGAATCGTCCCCCGAGGAACAAGAACATCTTCTCGACGTGTGCCCGCCGAAATTGGAGGAAACGTTGTCGTTGACTAGAAAACAAGAACAAGTGCAATGCATAAGCGACAACGGTGACGTACTGGTCACTTTAGGTCACGATCAAGTGGTACCGATTCGTAAGAGAATCGACTTCGTTTCGTCTGACACGATAAAAAGAGTTCGCGACATTACCAGGAACTTAGAACCAGTTATAAGGAAGACCTGTTCCGACATTAATGAGGAGCACCAGGACACGGTCGATTATGGGAGTGCATCGAATCACAAAGACGGACATTACTCCGGCGAAAAACACGAGGACGAGACGTTCGAGGCGCAGGAAATCAACAATGCCTTCAATTTTCTCGCGGAACACGACGACAACAACGAGGACGATCAGGCTGAAGCGAATTGCAACCGTTGCGACCAAGTTATGGACACGCACGGGCTGATACTGTTAACATGTTCTACGACAGACGACAAAGATTCGTTGGAGTACCATCATAACGATTCCCTGCAAGTTTTGAACTGTTGGAAACCCTCCGATAATTACTTTGCTCGAAAAAAAGACGCGGTTTCTTTGAAAGGTGACGAACCGGATTTACACGATCCCGCATTTGAGTTGTGCCCTAGCAAACCATCCGAAAGTATATCGAGGAAGATCCGATCCGTTTCCGCCGATTACGAACTGGAGGCAGGTAGCAAGGGTATTGTTAAGAGGACTGGCAAAAGAGGATCCTCTCAGCATATGCATCGTAAATCTTGGACAGAAGGAACTACCCCTAAGAACGTAACACCGGACACCTTTTCCCGATTCGACAGGTCGACTAGTTTGAGAGAATACAATTGCCAGCCGTCTACTTCGAACGGTGTTCATCGTCAGTCCAGCTTTATCTCGAGGTACGGCAATTCTGTTACTTCTTTTAAACTGTCGATTTTTTACCACATAAACGATCCGTTGTTGTTGACTCGGAACCAGGTGAGAGTTTCTGGACGTTGGTCGTATTACGCATTTCTAGTGCCATCACTAGAAGGGTAAACTTTGTTCTTATCTTTTTATTTTTCGGTTCAGCGTTCAAAGTTGGCAACGTTCCGTCGCGACAATTCGTTAAACAATATTACGCAATTACGAAGAAAGGAGCCAATTTATTTCGTCATCCTGTCGAATCTTGCTGTCTCGACAGAAATATTATTTCATTCCGTTGCTCTGCAGTGAGTTCATCAATTAAAATTCATCGTTAACGAATGAGTGAATTCTGCGCGATAAAGCGAATAGAAAAAAAGCGAGCTACATATTTTACGAGTGAGAGCGTAGGTGAAGGGTCGGAAGGGATTAAGTAGGCGCGTGTAACATGGTTGATTTCGATCGATTCCTTTGGAAAATGGTAGATCGATACTAACGAGGATTATGAGATCTCTAAAGAGCATCCGTTGCACGACAAGTGTGTGGCTAACCGGAAGTAATGGCACGAGTCGTGTGCGAGAAGCGTGGACCCAAGTCGTCGGCTTTGAATACACGAGATCCTTAAAGTGGCACGTGCAGCCACACCTGAGAAACAGGTAAAAGGATTCGTTTCGAACTTTCGCCGCACGATCCATGCCTCGAAGAATAGCTGTCTATTTAGGGCACTAACCTTTTTTCTTACCGTACATAAGACTGAACTCGGTCGAATACCGAACACCTACATACATATAATAACAACTCGTACTTTTTTCTTTACAACGTACCTACCGATCAAAGAGAAATATGCATATTACTCGTACGTCCTATATTTGACGAGGTAAAAATACGGCGTGAATTAAGTACGATCGTTGTTTGCAGCTGCTCTACGGAAGAAGTTTTGGTGACGAACGTCGAGGACGAAGAGAAGGACGGATGTTCGGAATGTTCGGAAGTAGATTGGTCGTGGTTGGAGGAAGTAGAATGTCCACGAGGTACGGAGTCGTTAGCACCCGGTGTGGTTGACGCGGCACAGGAGAACACGGAACATCGAGGAGGGAGTGCATCCCCCACCAGTGAAAATGCAAGGCGCAGGCGCGGTCGCGAGCATCGTGCTACCGAGGCGGGCTGCAGTGCCGTGATGTCCGTCTCCGGGACGGTAAAGTCCCTAGTGGTTGGTAGCTCGCGATGGTCAGCATCCGATCCGCTGTCCGATCGTAACGTCAACGATCATCAGGATGATACTGTACGTTGCAACGCCAGTAACGAAGCGATCGATCGGGAAACACGCGACAACGGTACCGTTCTTAACTCCTGGGTGCGGGCCTCTATGAGGCGTTTGCGCCATTTGAGATTACCAGAAGGTACCGATGATCGGCAGCGAAACACCGATTCGAATAACCGCCGCGGAGCCATCGTGTCCGCGCCCAATTCTTTGCCGGATATCGCTCTCATTGCTCCGGAGATTCTAGCCGCGCAAACCAATGGCACTTCCGGCACCCTACTCAGGCCATCCAGCGCTCCCGTCAGAAACGCGAACAGTTCGAACGTCGCGGTGCCATCGCGAAGAGGTGGCAGACAATTCAGAGGAAGCAGATCTCAAGGGACGAGAACACACGAGATATCGTCGAGGCAGAGCAGCGTTTTGTCAACTGTTACCACGGCTAGTGACACGACCACTTCGGGCGCCACGACGTGCTCCAGCTCCTTTGGCGGTGCTTCCACGAGTCCACCTTCCAGCACAGCGGCCAGTCCACAACGCATCACTTCCAGACGGTGAGTTTTTCCATTTCTTCTTTTACCTCTTGCTGTTTTATTCCCTTCGATATTTCAAATTTCTCTGCCGATGATAACGTAAGTGCACAGTTTTCAGATAGATCGTTTCCGATTATATGTATGTACATACCTACGTGTGCATATGTAGCTGAATGAAGCTACGAATCGCAGCTCCTTGGTCTTCTTTCCTTCGGTTCAATCTTATTGCCACACTCACCGGAAACGAGAATCGGCTTAACGAGTTAGTTGTTGGTTGTTGCTCATCCATGCTTGACATTACTTGCGCTTCAGATCCTTCTTACGCAAACCGTTGTGATACAGTTGGTGGGCAACGTGTTAGGAAATTAAAAGTTTCCTCTACGATCTCGTTTGAAAAGATGGCACGAATGGATAATGACGTTTCCGTAGCAACGAAAACGTCCAACGACTTAACGACTGCGATTAAATATGTAATACTTAAGTATGATTTCGAGGTTTAGAAGGATGTGCGCGAAGAATAATAAAACGACAAAAGTTGCGAAAATTCTTCGCTCTCCTCCTATGCACCGTTTAGGTGCGCGCGTGCTTTATACGTATTTTCGTCACGAATATCACGCGCTCGATGAGACGCATTAAAGTGAGCGTGTAACGAATAGATCTTTTCCATTCATCGTTGAAATCCGAGTTCATCGGGGCAAGTAGCAATTGTAAAATTTCGTTAAGCATTCTTGAGAAAATAATAGCTGCGACGTTGCGTGCGATTAGATCGGGTTTATAAGGGTCAATGATCTCGATCTCCCAGGGATTGTTTCGCCGTCGATGAACCGTGTAACCTGTTGCACAATCCACATTCTAGTGTCGTCTGTCGGGCAAGATCTTCTGCGGAGAAGTCGAAGGAACTTCCTTGTTCACGTCTCCGACGGTGAGAACAGTTGCTCGCTTACGTTTAGGCAGAGCTGTTGCCTTTGTTGGTTTAGCTTTGATCTAATGTCAACGGTACCATTGTAATTTAACCTGGTCACTTTCTCTTGTAATTCGATGGTGGAAACCTGCACAAATACACGTAATCGAACGTGAAGGCAGAGTTAGGAGTAGAATTAGCGTTTTGCTCGTCATTCCAGTAGACTTGGAGAACCTCGAGAAACGGTTTCCCTATCGTACTGGCGGTAAACCCAGCTTCGTCGATTAGCCGACTAAAGCAGTAACGTTAACAGCAGTAACGATAAACGTGAAAGTTCAAAGAAACGAACGTTTTCCGGACCGTGACCGCCGACGACTCACCCCTACCTCTTCTTTCTTTCGTGTTTCACGTACCGTAAATGATACTTGTTTCGTTTAAGGCAACACACCAGGCACCTTTACGCAATTCTACCTCTATATTAAGCACGTTTGATAACTGTACGAACATTTCGAGTTTCAAAGTTACTCGAAAAAATTCAAAGTTACCGATGCATCTAAGAGAGTAGTACGATACAACGTAGAATATAGCATGTGATTACTTCGATTCTTCAACAATGAGAGCTGTTTTTAGGTCAGTGGTAGTACGGGAACACGCAGCTCCAGGTCAACGGTACTGCCTGATGTAGCTCCCTTAACGGTATACCGGTAGAATAATTGCGTTATTCTCTCTCGAGTTGTGATAATTGACGAAATCGTTTCACTAAAAGTGACACAAAACTTGCTACCTTTTATCGTAAAGATAGAAAACATCCAACGATTATGAAATGTCGCTAATTGTGCAAGAAAAACCTTACAACAGGTGTGTATGGTCAGTACGTACGTTAGATTGGCGTGATGCACGTACATACTTACGTACACCACCAACATTTGTTCTTATTGATTATTTCCCAAGCGGAGCCGTTGCCTTTGTTCGAGTCGAGCCTACCTCGACAAACAGACACCAAGTACTGCTAACGTTGCCGCCAATTGTCGCGTATGCTCTAACGGTTTTCCTCCTATCGATCGGAAGGAAAATTGTACGAACGAGCGAAGGAAGGTGTGTACCAAACTGTTTTCGCTGTTAGGATAAGCGTAAAGCTACTTGGTCTCCTTGTGGGATCTGTTGTAGAAATCAGAAAGATTCATCGTATTCTTAGACGTGGTTAACAAGTGTAAGAGTAACCGGTTTCTCTTATCCTTGGTCTGTGTCTTTTATTACGTGAACTTTCCCTGAGTGAATTTTAAAAAGCCTTTTTGGTTTTAGCTCTTACGACAGAAATTTCTCGATTTCTCGACATTTTCGTTCGGAACTGTCAGAAGCGATGTGATTCAAGTTCGACGAACTTTCCACGACGATTTCGCGGTTGCAAGAATATCGTCGCCGGACTGAATAATTGATCCGACTGCTAAATTTCACGTACAAATTCGTGATTAACGCCTTTTCAATTTCGTCCAACTTCTACATAGGTTTTCATGGTTACGAGACACGCGTGCACACATTTATATCCCATGATAAGTGCATCGAGGCCTGTCGAGTACGGGCGTATGCGTTTACTTCTCTCTCTCTCTCTCTCTCTCTCTTCTTTCTTCTGTTTTCTGCTTTCTCTGCTGGTGATGTAGCGGTCAGAGTGCGTGGCTCCGGTTCACCTTCCTACGCATTATCATTGTCTGTCGTAGGTTGAATGCAACTGCATACGTGCCATGTACGCACGGTCATGCAACGCATACGAAATACTGACGGAAACTTGAGCTACGAATATCATTTGTACAATTGTTTCTCGTTAGGAAAGAACATTAGCGTCTTCTCGTTCGCTGGGTTTCTTTTCAAACTTGGAACAATCCGTGATTACTTTGGTGCGCGATCGAAAGAAATTCGATTGGCTTCTTTTCATTTCCGTGCTCGCAGAGATCTTCTTAAACTCGCGAGGCACCAGAGAAATACCGTAAGAATTCTACGGATTGGAAGTTTAGCAGAACTTTTGTAAAATGCTAGTTTTAACTAATTTTAAATTTAGAAATACGTCGTATGCAAAAGCTAACAATCTCGTTCGTTGCAGCGAGATTTCTTAACGTAATCTCTGTTTCTTGATCGCTGTATGCGGTAGAAAAACACGCGTATAGACAAGCTCTGGTGAAGACACGTGGAACGAAAGGGTGGTCTACCAGCAACCGCTGATCGCCCCTATTACGCGTAGTTCTCTATTCTACTCCTTTTATTTCTACCCGGCAATATGCATATATCGTTCGGTCTGTAAGTGAAGTTTTTTCTGCGGTCGAAACTGAGACGAGAAAACCACCTCGTCTCTGGCTTTTGCGGTACAATGTTGTGCTAGACCGAAGATCGTACTTTGATCTTAATATCCTAAAAGTGACGTCGGATCGATTAATTTAATTAGAAGTCGAACGGCAAAGTAGCGAAACTAACGCGCTCTTTTACAATACGCACAGATTTATACGCGATAGCGTCACGCACCGTACAACGATATTAATAATTATGACTGACATTTCCGTTTAATTGACAGAGTGTTAACTTCTTTTTTTACAACACGTCGATTCGATGTTGAAAAACTAATCGACGCACGGCTGTTTTTCGCTCTAATTTCAACCGCGCGGTGAATCACGCGTGTGGGTCGTCAATTTAACATTTACAATGAGTTTGACACGTTATTTTTCCTCCGGCGACCATTTATCACTAGCGTATCGCGATAAATAAAGTTTGCCAAGTATTTGCACACCGATGTAACACGTGCAAGCATTCGCCTCCTGGTTTCGCTACTGTCCTGATACTGTGGCACAACTGCACCGACCTATCCAACGTAGCAACGTAAGAACAAGGAACAACAAAAATATGCATTCAAGAGGAGATTACCGAAGCAAAGTATCAACTCGAAGCTTCTGCTGAAGCTTTCTCTAACGATCAGCGAATGCTTCGATCCTGGTTGCTGGATCTGGTTTCCTTCCTCTATCGCAGCATCTCACGTTTCGTAAGATCGCGTGAACAAAGACGAAACGCGACAGCGAACCTAACCTTTCCGCGTAATTCGCAGGTTAGCCAGCTGATCTGACTCGGTCTGGAGGATACGTTTGAAAAATTTCTGATGTCGTGCGAGCGATCGGCGATCATTCGATCGTAATTGTCGACGTTGGAAAGAACGATCGAGCACGCACGCGTGAGCATGCACGTGCGCCCGTCTGCCTTGTTCGTCACGTGACTCTAGCGGGATACAGTTATCCATCGGCTTTGGAGGGATCCTACGTATACCTACGTACGATTCACCGGCAATGGTGTATTCGGTGTAGCAAGCTGTTGGAATCACGAACGATCGCGGAATCTTCAAGGTCTGTCCGCGAGGAACGCGACAAGTTATTCCGGGGACTAACGAACACGTTCGATGTGTTAACTTGTCCTTTCTCGCCTCTTCGCGCATCCATTTCGGCTGTTCTCGGCAAAGAAACGGAGACTTTTTCTTTTGGAAAGAGAGAGAAACAGGGTGGAAGAAAGTAACGATAGATATTACTCGCGAGTGTTGCGTCGTGTTGCGTCGCCTGTTACGCGGCGTTTTACCAGGCCACTGATCGATAATTCACACAACGATACAACATCGCCAGGAGTACAGTATGGCATGTACTTGTAACATTATCGAGTGACTACATTCCATTTCTGATGGGGAAAGATTTCGTTGGAGAGCACTTCTCGAACAGAGAGCGGCGGACCCGTTCTTGCAAGACGGTTGGAAAGAAGGTCTTACGTCTTACACGATGTCGCGTACACGATAATTGCTTCGAATGACGTTTCTGTGCGAACGTTTCTAACCTGGCGGCAAAATTAAGAGGGACGAAAAGAACGTCTCTATGGACGTGTACGAAACGATGACGGGTCTTTCAAGGATTGTGCCTGGAGCGTAGCGTTAATCGTTGGTAGATCTTGGCGAGCGTAGGTTTGCCTCAGCCGTAGAATCGATCGTTGTACCGAGAAGCCACGTGCCCGTGCAAAAAGTGTTAGCACGCACGCTTGCTGAAAATTCTGTCGTGCAGAAAAATATTCGATTATTCTCACATTTGTGGGAAACAAGAGCGAACGAAAGTGGTAATTTCAGTGGTAGACAGATCGACCATTTCCTCGCGATTTCTCGTGGAAGAAGAGCAACAAACTACGTTTCGACTATTTCAAGATTGGAAACGTTCCAACTAAATGTCATCGTTATCAAGTTCTATGAACACAATTACAACGCGAAGCTTAGAATCGTAAGCCGCCTGACTCATGTTACAGTTGTAGATTGCTAAATCATCGATCGGCAAACCTGTTTGAACTTCGGTGTGAAACGAGTACGAGCGGAACGCGAAGAAATGCTCGGGAATAAACTGGAGAAAAAAAAAGAGGAACGAGCATGACGTTTTGCGTGAATGCGAAAACAGATCGAGACGTAAAATCGTTCCTCGAAAGCGAAGCGCCGGAAAGGCACAGTTTTGAAATTCGATTGTTCTTGCCTCGTTAAGCGCCTAGTGTCGGAGTCTTCCAGTGAATCCGGAGTGAATTTCGCGCGTGATATTCTCTTGCCGTTTATTTTTCTTTCTTTCTCGCGTACCTTACAGAAATGAGAAAAACTTTGAAGGTCGAGAAAGGTAGTTCCTCGTCGTTGCGTGTGCCCATTGTTATTAGCTGCGGAGCGGCCCCTGAAAAGGGAGTAGAATAGTAGAAGCGATCGAGGGAGGAGGAGACTGGAGAATCGATCTCGACACGGTGGAAATGAACGGTCATCGACATCGTTAGCGTGACATGTGTTCAAGATGAACTACGATCCAGCGATTTGCCGCCAGTATTTCTATTGTAGTCAACGTAGACATCGTATCAGGTACATATATGTATATGCCTACATATTAGGCTGCATCTTCATTTCTTCACGTTTCGTAAATTTGGTGCAAGTTGCGACAATATTTTCGCTTACCGTCTGACGCGATCTAACGTACTACGTTCACGTTCTAACTTATTTCCGTAAAGTCTCCCAATTTGATTCAACGACAGATTTAACCTTTGCTGGATCGAACCAAAACGAATTACCGATCATCGATGACTCGTTTTCCTTGAGAAATCGAGTTTAGTCCCTGAAGCTAGATGGTTCTACGATCAAGGATCCGAATCTGACCGCAGAGTTCCATTATTTCATCACGGTGATTGTTAAGAAAATTGAACAGCGTGAAATTTTAATCAAGGTTGTCACCAAAGACTGGTGAATTGTCTCTAAATATAGAATACTATCGCGCGTCTCGTCAACTGTTTTTCTCACTTTTGTCAATGTATCGTATAGAGAAGTTTCGCCTTAGCAATAGTAGTCGTTTGACGGCGGTGAGTTTCGGTTAACGCAACGTAAACGGCTATCGTGACGAATCCACCGTTCGCGTGTTTCGAATTTCGTATATCGTCGGCGCTAAAGGTATCGTGGTCGTTAAGAAGTGGTCAGTTTATCGATTAATCGATAGGACATTCCGTTTCTACCCTCGAGAATTCCTGACTAACTTTTACGTTTTCGGGGTTGAAACCAACCAATTCTTGGCCGCTGACGTCTTTGCGCATTCTAATCTGATGCTGTCGTTTCTCGAACGTCGTTACTTTTCGTTTCTACGATAAACCTTTCGAAAAGTTGATACACTTTGTTTGAAATCGGAGAAAAAACGATCGGGGACGGGTGCTCGGTATTGAAGTAGCTTCCATCTTGCTGGAGTGGTCGATGAGATGGCGCGGTAATAAGGATTCGTTATCCGGGATCGGCACGATCCTTGCATTCATATGTCTATGAATAATTCACAAATGGTCGTCTAAAACATCGAGAGAAGTACGAGATTGGTGCAACGAAGGCGACAGAGACATACCAAGTTTTTGTATTCTCCACGTAAAACAAGGTCGGGTTGCGCCTTCAAGATGGAACCGCGTAGGAGTGTGTTCGTTCTCTCTTACGTATTCGTCTCTCTATTCCGTGATAACGGTACCTTGGTAATCCTCGATCTTTTATCGACATTCATGCAATAGTTTCCTTCCTTTTATTCCTTTCCCCATTATTCAGTTCTCTTTACGTCGCATTTATCTTACGACGAAAGAAACCAACAATTGTACTTTTCTACTTGAAGTAATGTTCCTTGGTAAATTTCGTACTTGAAGTCGTTGAGAAATCTCACAATTGGATCCTAATGCACATAGGCAGATACATACGTTCTCATTTGCCGCAACGCGGTCCTCCTAATCGACCGTGAATTTTCTTCGGCAAGAGCGACAAATTCGATACAATTACATTCGACCCAGTTTTATGACAAATCGATACAGCCTTCAACATGATTATTTTACATACTCTTATCGGCAATCGGCGGTAGGTATGAGGCAACAGTAATGTAACATCGTATTCAGAATTGATGTATTTGTGTATGTAATACTTGGTACAGTTGTAAACGAAATGTGTGAAACAGGTGGAATTTTGTTTGTTTAGAATATGTGAAAGGCAGAGGGACGTCGATAGAGATGAAGATAGAGGAGAGGACGAGGATGAGGATGCAAATCCATTGGGGAAATGGCCACACGCTCTTAGTCCAGCCTTGGCGTGTCTCAGTTGCACCCTTGGTCTCTTTAATATAAGTAGATTCTCTATTCTTAGCGTACAATTCGGAGGTGAGTCTGCACAGTACTCTCGCGTATATCTGCCTAAACGAAACAGCTGATTTCAATAATTTCTTCTTTTCTTTGTTTTTCTTCTTTTTTTTTTCCAGCAAATTTCATTGTACAGTTCCTGATTTTGTCTTTGGTACTGGGCATTCCACTTCTAACCTTGCACGTGTGCCTTGGACAAAGATTGGCGGCTGGATCCGTAGATATGTGGAAAATCTCACCCCTCTTCCAGGGTGTTGGTATAGCTCTCTTAATTGCACAAGCATTTATCGGTATCTACAGTATTGTCGGCGTGTCCTGGATGTTCGTGTACTTTAGGTATACATACATTGCTTTGTCCTGCACGATAGCGATAAAATATGGCCAGCTTTAAGAATGATCTTTCAAACCTTGCAGAGATTCGTTCATAACGAAGCAGGATAAGTACCGATGGGCTGAACCGTTTTCTCTCTACAGAGACGACAAGCCTGTACAGAACAATAGTAACGTACATAAACTGTACGAAACGGTACCAGATTATTTTAGCGGTGTCGTTTTGCAAAGACATCATCTAAACGAATCGGATCCCGGTGTTGTCACGTTAAAATTTCAAGTTGCTTTCAATTTGGCTGTTGTATGGATGATTGTGTTCGTGTCGTTAAGTAAAGGTACTTAGTTATTTTATTAATTTCCTTTTCTCTCTCTTTTTTTTTTTTTTTTTTTTTTTTTTTTTTTTTATATCGACCAAACCAAACGTTTAACGATTCTTTCAGGTCTAAGATCTTACGGTAAAGTTGTGTATGTTTTTACACTGGTCCCTGTGTTTGGTACCTTGGTTCTTTGTACAAAACTACTCGGTCTCACGCCGCCAGGCTCTCTACATCAACTCTTTCCTGCCACCGTTTGGACAGAGTTTTTCATCAACGGCAAATCGTGGGTGGCAGCATCCATCGAGGTTTTCCTTACCTGGGGACTACTTGGTGCAGCTGCCATGCAGGTAATTACCATAAAATGCGATTAAGGGAACAACGTTTCGGTAAGAGAAGCACACTTACTATTATCAATAATTAATATTATCAATTTTTTAGATAGCTGCTCATAATAAACACAAACACCTGTTACAACGAGATACAAGTCTCGTGATAGTATTAACCATTGTAGTTTTACTTCTCGCGGCTTTTCTGGCCAATACTTGCGTACAAGTTCTCAAACATCACGGATACATTTACATACCGAGTTCGTTTGGTAAGTACAGGATGTAGCCACAGTTTCTAGTCGACGTATTTAAGCGCAATATGTTCCTGTTTTAGAAAGAATATCGTCGTATGTGTTTATGAGACCTATGAACCAACCAGCACCACCGGGATACAGCAGTACGCCAGAGAGATTTATGGCACATGCGTCGTTTATCGTCGGAGAACGCGTAACACGTCCTGGTGCAGACTTCAGCGTCGAATCTGGTTATCAAGCCTTGAGATTTTCCACCGAATTAGTTCCTGCGACGTTAGCGTTACTAGGCACCGAGCAAGTCTCGCCGTTCTGGGCGGTTCTTTTTTATTTCATTCTTATCCTTTTTGGAATAGCTCAACAGGTATATATTTCAACAGCACGATGCAATAAATGCGACCAAAATTCGAAATACGAATTACTGTTCAAAGATACGTCGTTTTTAATATTTTAGCTAGCAATATGGCACTGTGTGATAACCGGTATTATGGCGATCAACGCGAAGATGATGAAATTATGGGAAACTACCATTACATTCTTCAGTTGCGCTTGTGCTTACATTCTAGGCTTACCAATGGCCACTGAGGTAATTTCGAAACATACCTGTTTGTTTAACAATTTCTTATTTTATATAACAACTTATAAAACTTTTAAGGAAGTAAGCATAGATAAGACGCGTGTTCTGTTTAAACGTAGGATATAAAATGAGTCTCCCGTTATCGGCGAGGTCCCACAATATTTTATTTACACTGATAACGATTATCAGCTCCAGTACTAACCTGATTAAGCATGTTTCATCAGTATCGTTAGAGTCACCGTGCGATTCAGAAAATGAGTAATCAGATTCATTCTGTAGTACGGCGAAGCGTACCTTGTTACTTTTGCAATGAATTTCTCGATGAAAAATATCTGTTCGATCACGTGAAACAATGCGGATCAGTTTTAGAAGAATGTCCATTTAAATGTGGCGTTTACGTGCTTCGTAAACATATGGAGCAACATCGAAAAACATGCAACAGAGATGTGACCAGCAGGCACAGTCGGATGAAGGATATGCAAGATTCTTTGTGGAGGAACAAAGTATTCTCTGCTCTAACGTTGCTCCGTTCTGTGATACACAACGAAGAAAAGGAACGTAAAAACCTTCGGGATAATATGACTCAGTGTTTAAAATTAGTGCATTCTCAGCGAGAATCGATCGGTACTTTACATTTTCAAATTACAGAAACGATAGAACAGTGTCGACAATATAACGCAACTGTAAATCAAAGATTACACAACTTAGAGGTAACCTGTGACAATATGGAGCAGCGTACTAGTTCGAGCTTTCGACAAATCTCGGAACAACTCAAGCTTGTACACAGTGAACTAACCAACGAACGGAATAAGCATGATAAAGTACTTGGAAATTGGTGCTTAGAATTGAAAGATTTAAAAACTTTTGTAACGCAAGAGAGCGAACACGTGAACAAGATGTGGCAAGAGCAACGGCAGTTAATTCACGATCTCAAGCTGGAATTGGAAATGAGATGTAAGAACTCGAAGGAATTGATAGAACAGCAAGAACAGATAATCGAGAAAGTAAACAGCTTAGAGGGAGAAGTGTTGAGGCAATCGGCAACCACAAGTAGTCAGAAAAGTATCATCAGAGGACTGAAGTTTCAAGTGAAAGAAAACTTAAAGTATCTCGAAGAATTGATTAGCGATAATTCAAAATCTAACGTCTCAGAACTCCTCGATTGTCGATGCAGAGAGGGATGCATTGACCAGTATCCAACCAATGGTCGTCTTTTGTGGAGAATTGACCGTTATAAAGAAAAAATGACCGAAGCAAAGGAAAGTGACTGCGCGCTTTATAGTCCGATATTTTCAAACAAGGAATATGGATATACCTTGAGATTGGAGTTATTTTTAAATGGTATAGGACAATGGAAAGACCGACATATTATCGGATGTCTCCGGGTCGAAAACGGAAAATGGGATCCGCTGTTAGATTGGCCTTGCGTCCTCAAAGCAGCCGTTACGTTGAGAAATCAAGAAAATCCAGCAAACGATATAAAAAAACTTGTCAAAGCTATAGGGCGGAACAAATCGAATGGTCCAGTTGAAAATAAGGAGCCTGGAATTTACATGTTTATTCCGCATACAACATTAACTCGATACTCCGGTTATATTAAGGACAATGTATTATTTTTAGATATTCAGGTGAAAGATATAAAAACCAGTGCTTCCACGCCAACCCTAACGTTATGAGTAATCGAAATATTAAGGCGTGTATCGTTGATATAAATGTCGAAGTAAATACGTATCTATAACCTATGTAATACTATCTGTTAAATAAGGGTAGAAGTATACGTATATCGATAGTCTCATAGTGTTTTGATCTTTTTATTTCTAGTTGGGCATACACGTCGTATATTATCTAGACTATACAATCGGTGGTACGTGGTGGATAATGATTTTATACTTGGTGCAAGTCGGTGCTGTATTCGCGGTGCGAGGGCGTCCACATAGCGGCGAAGCGGTAGTTGCCGAATTGTTTCCTCCAACTGGTCGATGTCTCAGGCACTGGGCTGGTCCTCTCTTGTCATTCACATGGAACGTTATACTGCCTGTTATTCTTATGGTATGTTCTTTCCGAGAATTTATACACGGAAAATTGTAGTAATCGTAACGCATAATCAAGTTAACGGTTTAAAATCAACAGGTACTTAGTATTACGGTATTCAAGAATGCCGATTTTCGAGAACTTTACTCTTATCGGCGCACCACTAGAGAATATTGGCCTATATGGGCAAGACAACTTGGGGCTGCTGTTCAACTGATACCAATATTAACAATACCGGCAGTGGCTATTATACAAACCTGCCGATATCTAAACAACGGTCCACCTGATATATTCGACGTAAGGATCCGAGTGAATTTTAATAAACTAGTAGAACCAAGAAGAGAACGATGCTGCCTTCGATTAACAAACATTAATGTACTCCTTATTTTCCGTTCTAATATACTAACACATGCTTAACATCGATTATTATTTTGTTTATGCTAACATTAGAACAATCAGATGGAATTTAACGTAAATCACTGCGAACAGTGTAACGGCGTAAGTCTTCCTTTCTAATCACTGGCTTTTCTTTTGATAAATAAAAAAGGAACACGATCTTTCTTTGCTTAACGTCAGATTATGTATTATCCTAAAAGAAAAAAATATAAATTTCACAGAGAATTCAGTTACTGTATCGACCGTCTTTGGAGCCGGACGATCCACGGGATGCACAGACGCATATTGGAAACGACACAAGTACCAGTATCCATGGTAATGGTATCGTGTCTGCAACAACGGAAGTACCATTTGAGGACCCACCGCCAAAATACACGCCTCCACCGAGTTACACCACAGCAACGGGAGCGAGAATAGCAAAGATGTTGCGACAAAGTTTTCGAAGAAGCGTACGACGAATAGCAAACGTGCTCGGTGAAAGCAGCGCTCCAAGACAGAGACCGGCGTTACAACCGCCACCTCCTGATTACGCCACTGTACTTGTAGAGATGAATCAGGGCAGACAAATGCAAGATGTAACGATTCATGTAACCGAAGTGAGAAATGAGAATACTAATAGTTCGAACGCTCGGAACAATGCTACAGAAAGGCATAGGCCCAACACTATCGACCGAACAACGAGGATCGGTGCAGTAGCATGTTCGATAGAGAGAACACACTCGACGCTTGATAGGCCTCGACGAGCGTGTACCACATCGTCGAGCAGTTCGAATCTAACTGCCGTCGATGTGGCGAATTTACTTCGCAGTAGCATTAGAAGAGGGACCACGAGAACTCAGCAAACTCTACGTAGAAGTTTTTGCCACGACGAACCAACGGCCGCAGCGTCTGTTGAGAATCTAGTCGAGGCCGCGGCGCCGATCGGCGAAGAATCCTTGGTCCTTCCGAAGGACGTGTCTCTAGTCTCCAATGAACAGGATAACGATAATAGCAATGATAAAAAGACTGCCGAAGAAACGGAAAACTCTGTTTCTGTGATATAATAGACTATGTCCTTCTTTCGAGTTCTTACCAAGATAAACATGAAGATTATTTAATTCCTGCTACATAGTGTTACAGTGATTTATTCCTCGTTCCGATCATATCAATGACTCATCCTACAAGGTACTTTCGCTTTCAATCTTCGACTGTATGCATCCGCGCAAGCTATACTACGAAAGATGGACAAGTTGCCGATGATATAATATCATTGATCAATGACCGAAAAATTAATTTTATCTTTTAGACTGAATTCAGTATTTTTTAATCTTGTCACACCTGACGAATAATTGCATAATCTCATCGCTATATTTATCACGACGATTGTACGACAGGTAAACAGATAACGATAAGTAGAAAAACCAACACACAACCAACTCGGTTTGCTATTCGTTGAAATAGATTTTGATTACGTATTTCGCGCATGTCGAGTCTTGGTAAAGTTTAATTCGCTTCAAATCAGTGTACTTTCAAATAATTTTCGCATTCTTAATTGAGACTGTGCAAATGATATGTCAATGTAATATACTGCTATACTGCTATAGTTTCTTCAGTAGTTTTATCGCATTAGTGTACATAGTATTTTAACAAATCATAAATATGCTTGTTAAGCATTTCCTTCATTAACCATAACGGCCGTTTAATGTTACAATTGTATAGTCCGTCCAATGTCCATCAAAGCCTGCGTGTTATTTTCCGAGCAATGGCCGAAACGAATGCGGAGCATCCATTTATTTACCATTGCAAAGAAGTGAGAATTATACGTCACATAGTATATATAATGCAAATAATCGTTGAACCAAGGTACGGATAAAACGAAGAGTGTAAAAATGCATTGTTATTTACATGATCACGTAGTCATATAGTGCCGCGCAAATATTCTAATAATATTTCATATGTGTAACTGCTATACCTGATATTATGGACCATAATAAAGTTTTTATGTTCTTTTTTAAATTTGTGATGACTTTGTAATATATCCAATGCAACAGCGATAAGATTAAAATCACATTTATATTTTAAATATCGATATTATATTCAATATTGCATAATTACAGAAATAGATGTTACTATTTTTGGTAGAAGAAACGAAGTTACAAAGAAAGAGTACAGAATATTTTAAACGATTTTCTTTTCACTTTTTTTTAAAACGCTTGTATAGCGCGCATTAAGTATTTTATTAGATGCCATTCAAATAATATAAATTCTACGCGGTACGTTAGTACTTACACTTAAGCAAACGCAACGTAACTTTGTTACAGAAAGCGGTCTTTCAGTTTGGAACGTATACAAAACTAAATAAACTATGTATATTACAACCTTGTTATCGAAACGTCGATTCTTAAATAGATGTTTCGCATCTTCTTCGTGGTAATTAATTATCGAGAAAAATAGTTCGTTTTCATACACGTTTACAGAATGTTATGCAGAAAAAAGAGTTTTCAGAAGCGATAAATAATTTTTCTTTATTACTCGTATATATTCGATTAGTACGTCAGGAACAATGAGCAAACGTATTTCCCACTAGCGATCAATTATGAGGTTATGTGAGCATTAAAAAATACTATACTAGTTGAATGAAGTTCATAATATCTTTCGATTTATAAATAACTAAGAATGAATAGATAAATAAATATCTCAAAGAAAAATTACACTATACTCGAAGACTCGAAGAAGTAGTTCTGAAACGTCCGTTTGCCCATCCCTGAATTATACCGATACTATATCGTTTGCAAAGTAACTTTATCATTACATTAATTGTTAGATATCGCACTTCGATGCAGAATTACGTTGAAAATACTTGCTTTCGAAGGCGGAATAATTTACTAACGTTAAAAGTATTAATTCAAAGCAGTGGATGTAAGAACAGCGACTCCCCTTTCGTAGAAACTGTGAGGATCTTGACTAGGAGCAATATTTAAATCAACGGTAAATAATAATTCGGTACGTGTGCTGTTCAAGTAAACTGGTAAAGACAGTTTGCCTTTTCGTACATCATCAGTGGCAGATCGTATCCACCTCAACATGGTAACTGGTAAATCGGTCATTATAGTCGATGTCAAATACAGCTGATTATCTTTGCACTGCGCTCCTTGTAATTTAAGACCAGTTACAGCAAATGAACAATCGTCCGTTGCAATGTTATCACCGTCCCCTATAGTCACATCTAGCTGAAGTTCTTCGAGTGACCAGCTGTTTACTTGTGCTATGCACTGTCTCGTTGCCGTAATGTATGCTTCGGGATTCAATAATCCACCGAGCCAAACTGGAAAGCTCTGAAAAGCGTATGATTGCATAATATTAAATTAGAAAACAATATTAAAACAGAATTAAAGAAACAAACCTTAATTTCCTTAGCTCCTCCTTGAGATACTAGTCGCGAAACTTCTTGCAACTGTGATACTCTATGACTAAAATCTGTTATCCATTGTATGACAGTACACCCTCTTGGTACCATATATCGTCTCCAACCAGCTGGTAGAATACCCTTTACTAATTCCGATAACATAGTTCTATGGTAATTAGTCTGCTTCTTTTTACCCTGTGAAAAGAGGTTAAACGTTAGTACAGTGATAGTTGGAAGAAGAAAATGCATCAGACCAACAATCGGTTGGAAAAATACCTGGCAAATTAAAACTACATCTTCTAAATCATGGATCACTTCTTGTAGTAATTTAGCACCGCTGTTAACTTCTCTCTCAAAGTATCTATAGAGAGGATCCTTTATATTTTCCACAGTTCTCTTTAAAGTTGGCAAATTCTTTGGAAGCAATTGTAACCATGTTGATGCCGAATTATGTAACGTTCTCATCCACGATGGTCGACCATCAGCCTCTGCTTCTATAGGTGTATCCAATGACTCCTCATTAGAATAAGCTAGTTCGTCTTCGTCTTCCAGTTGTTGCATCTTTAATAATTTAGACACCAAGTCTGTTCCTCTGGTTGTGAGTAGTACTTTCTCAGCATTATTCGGTAGGCCAAGCCATGAAGGTGTTTGTCGATCTGATAATGACTCGATCCACTTAAGAAAATGATCGCGCCTGGTTCCGTCCGGCATAGTAATATGTCGTTGACTTCCTTGCAAGCCATCAATGTTAGCAACTAGTGCAAAATCAGCCTCAAAAGATCGCGGGGTAAAGAGCTTTCGAAGGAATGATGCAAGAAGACGTTGATCGAAATCGTTATCAATTTTACCACCGTATATGCATTGAGAAAGGAGTGTCACTAGAGCATCCCAAGGTACCTTCTCCGGTGGTAAGTTAGTTCTGCCCATAGCAGTAGCCTCTATCCATGTGTCGAGAGTATCGCAAGCTACTCTCAGGTCGCTCTCGTTGAATTCGTAATGCTTAGCCCATCCTAGCGGTGCATATCGAAGACGTTCTTGAACAATAGCGTGGAACCATGCTAACAGGAAATAAAGACGGGCTCTTTCATTAGGTGCTTTCATCATTCTTGACGGAGGTACGGTACTGAACGTTCGCAACAAGTTTGCCCTAATTCCAGGGGGTGGTTCGAAGACAAATATTCGACCAGCTCTCAGTAGATTTACTGGTACCTTCGGATTAATCTCCATGGTTAAGAATAGTCTAAAATTGGTATGTGGTTGTAAGCTATGCAATTTCTTTTCAAGCTGTACTAACCACTGCGGTGCTAGATGAACATTCTTCAATAGTACCCATCTGCCAGCTTTAACAGCCATGTTTATCGCTCTATCAGCCTGATTGAATCCTTCTGCAGATCCTATCGCGATGCTGGCTATTTGTTTTCCCGATTCAGCTGCCAAATCATCCACTCGACCAGAGGCATCGAAACCTGGTACCGAGCATAACAGAGCAGGCACAGTAGCTTTCAATTCATTCTCCACCACCGAAGCAAAATCAAGTTCTGCTTCCGCAGCAGCCATGAAAGATTCTCCCAAGGCGGAAGTTATGACTAAAGATGCAGCAGCTATCACACGATCAGGTCGGAATGCTTGAATTATCAATAATTGGTGCATAGCTGTTCCAATCGGAGTCAACGGCTTTTCCTCGTCCCAAAGTTTTGGCACACAGGTCTCTGGAGTTGGTGATTGTAACCACGAGTTAAATTCTGCATTCTCTTGAATCTTTTCTGCCAGTTTTCTGAAAGCTGGGAGCCTCAGACTCAACCGCATCATAGCTTCTTGTTGTTCCGAACTCAAATTAGGCAAAATAGGTCCCCGTATATTCAATACACCTTCCTTTCCACGCAAGAAGAATGTGAATTCACTGTCATACGTGGATTCGGTGATGATACCTTTCAAGTGTATTCTGCATAATAACAATGCAAACGTTAATCTATCCGTATGCAACATTCCACGAGCAACGCGTTCGTAACAGGCAGAGAATAAATCGCTGGTAATAACCGATAGTCTTTGCGTATGGTCCGATATATTAGACAGTCTTGGATTTTGAGAGAGAACAGAAGTGAAAACATCTAAGAACATTTTCAAAGAATACTGGTACAAGAAGTGCACTTGATTCAAACTATCCATTGTAAAGTACATATTCGAACAAGCTTGAGATAAGGGCATATATTGTTGGGAGACTGTCTCAATTTCTCCTATGACTTTATCTGTCTCTTCGACTTTCTTACTAATATCAGCCGCTTCTTGTTTCAAAGTTTCAAGAGTGGTTATCACAGAATCATCGTCGAGGATTTTCCCCTTAGCATCGTTCAATGCTTGTAACAAAGATTTCTCGAGTTGTCTCAGTCGCAAGTGGAATTCACCTTGTAATTTCAATAAGTCAGACCTCTTCTCGTCGATATCCGGACGTTCAGCTTTCAGGACTTGGTTCAAACATTGACTTTGCAGAGAACTTCTAGTAACGGTGAAGTTTACGAAGGTAACACGAGAGCAGATATCTGGTGGGAATTCTACTGTCGGATCTCTCGTTGATAAGAATATCACAAAAGATGGTGAAAGATCGATATCTTGATCTCCAAGTGTAATCAACACACGTCCACCTGTTCTTCTTAGTTCTCTATTTAGAACAGGATTTAATATCGGGTCATAATTTTCAACGTCCTGTACCAATAAAGGATTACCAAAACGTAAAGCGCTCTCGAGATTCTTCCTAAACGAGTCGTCCAAGAAGCTTGTTTTCGTGATCTTTCGCTCTTTAAATTCATTCATTATAAATTCAGTTGCTTGTCCGGATGGATCGATAATTAACGGGTACCTGTTGAAACGTTTCAACATAATAGCATTTTCGGTACAAAGATCATCCGTTGGCAGGGCATTAGCTTGCCACCTCAAACGTTCATCAGGATTTGAGAGATACTCTGTTCTCGCTATATCCGGTCGGAACTGTAGATTTGCTTGTTGCAAATGCTGACACCAAGTACTGAACAAATTTTGTCGGTACTGAAAAAGCAAGATACGTATAAAATATATGTCGTTGCTCTATAAAGAAAAATATGCGTGACTATTACAATGACTATTACTAAATGTAACTTACATGTTGATCGAAATATCCAGCGTACGCAAGGAAAGCAGAGGACAAGAGTACATCTCCGATAATCGTAGACATTTGACTTTTAAACGTTTCGCTAGTTGCTTCCCAACGTTCTCTTTCGATCACCAACGATTTCAATAAGGCGATAGAACGATCCACTTTAGCTTGTACGCTTTCCAAGTCAGCTTTAATAGCTTGTGCCTGAGAAATGAGCTGAGCGTATTCTTCCTTATACGAAGCTATGCTTTGCTCTAATTGAGCAATCAAATTTTTCACTTCTTCGCCTCTTTGTTTATTCGTTTCAGCCTGTCGTTCTAACGAATGAAGTTCATCTCTTAGGGGTTCTACTCGTTTCAGCATGTCTGCATACTCAATCTAAAAATTTTAAATCTTATGCTCCTTTTTCTTGAAAAAACTTTGCTTGTATTGGCAAATATTTACCTGCGCGGTAGAAGCCATACTGGCTCGGTTAACTTTTTCAAAATTATAGTCAGGATTACTTAAGTAGCGGCTCTTCATTTTTTCTCTCACTTCATCACTAAATAAATATTTAAACAAATTCATTGAATATTATTAACTTTAACAGTTAGGTATAACATATTTGAACAATTTTATATAACATATTAGCATACTGTATTATACATGTAATTTCGGTTAGTAACAAATTTGTCAATTGTCGTTCTCATGCTCTAAGTAACAACTAGTTGTGCTTTGTGAATTTTGTTCAACATTTGTTTAAGTTTGAGATCAGCAAGCACAAAGATTAGTTGTAGATACATACAACAAATATTAGTATTACACATTTTCTTAGATATTCGTAAGTTATTCGTTTTTTTTTTCCTTTCATCATGATTTTCTAATTCACGAACATTTTAGGCAATATTCGTATCAACGAACCGTGTTCGCTGATCCCTCGATCAAAGAATTAAACCATCTGTCTAGGTAAAACAAACAATGAATGCATGCTTACGTAATATCCTCGGTACTGAAATTAGAGACAATAGTATTGATAAAGTTGTCTCTCATGATGACAGCGCGGATAGATTTCCAGTCACTGGCATTTTCACCGAGCAATAAGCAGATAGACTCCAATGCAACCTTCACGATCGCCGGCGGATTCGCCATGGACCGGACTTCGACTAAATGTTGTTTCTTTATCGATTTCACCGCTATACGAAAAACGAAACGATTTTGTATAGTACAAAGGAAATAAAGTGCAGGCATGTGCAATTAGAACAGTTATGACAATGTTATGTGAAAAAAGCTCCGTGACAGGCTGCGCATCATTTTAGCTGACCTAAAGTTAGAGATAAAAAACACGATATATTTTATTTACAATAACACAGTATTTACGTATCATGTCACGTCCTTATAACTGGTAAATATCTAAAAATTCGTATATTTGAATTTCAAAGAAAATGCATCATCTAAGAAGAACATACTATCCAACAATTTCTTGCGGCTTATAAGAACGTAAGTTGTATATGCGTGGGTGAGCATTCAGCCAAAAGACATAACATATATGTCAAGCGGTTATGGAATTGTATCTGCCTCGGTAAATTCCCACGCGAGTATTGAACATTCAGCAGATCCATAATCATTTCTTACGTGAGATTTTCCGTGTTGAAGTTGACGATGGTTGGTATGAAACTATCCTTCATAATGACAGCACGAATCTGTTTCCAATCGGTAGCATTTTCCTCGAGTAACAGGCATATAGATTCTAAAGCTACCTTTACGATGCTTGGAGGATTTGCCATCGATCGAATTTCGACAAGATACTGCCGCTTAATCCCCTTGACAGCTATACTCATTGAAAACGATTCAGCGCAACGCGCAGCACGTGTTTCAAGCGTTCAAGATAGAGTACACGTGAGCAACGATAAAAAAAAAAAAAAAAAAAAAAAAAAAAAAAAAAAAAAAAAAAAAAAAAAAAAAAAAAAAAAAAAAAAAAAAAAAAAAAAAAAAAAAAAAAAAAAAAAAAAAAAAAAAAAAAAAAAAAAAAAAAAAAAAGTCGCAATTTTGCATTCGCAGCTTCATTTTTCGCGTGCAGTTCCTGTACACGAGGTTTATATCAGTACAAATTACAAACAATGTTTCGCCGCGTTCGTATTATATTTCACTACGATACCTGAGATTTAATTGCCAAACTCTTCTGCATTTCTTCCACTTGTTCTACTGTTTCTGCGATTTTGCTTAAACCAACGTTCAGATGCAACTGTTGTTCTTCTAAATCACTTCTCTTCTCTTGATACAATTTCACAAAGTGATTGATGAAATCTAAATAATGGCGGGGTGTAATAGCCATAGTTCTACTACCTCGCTTCGCGAGTCTAGCATTAGCTTTATGTAACGTTTGGTGTACGTAAACGCAAGCATTTATGACAGCATCTCTGTGAGAAGGCTGCGATGGTATTAGAGAGCAAACAGATGGGAAGAAATCTGGACACTTCCATGAAGGTCTTTCCAAATCCACTCGACTGGTAAATTCTTTTCCGACTTGGAATAGTGCGTTATCTGACCAATCGCCAAACCAGTTCAACACACATCTGTTGAACAATGCAGGTGATGTCGCAGCTCGATCTTTAAGACCATCCGTGCTGGGATTCATTGTAAATACAACGTGCAAGTTCTTCATAACTTGACCGGTGAACCATTTATACAGTTCTTCGTTAGAATCTAACATAAGACCCTCGCGCTGTGCTCCTTCTTTGCATTGCGTCATAAGAGTTGTATACTCATCACCCTCGAATAAACCAGGCACTTCTCCGTTTGCAAGTAAAGTATTCATACGTTCGAGGAAACCGGAGTCTAAAACATTCGATTCGTCGAGAATAAATGCTATTTTTTCATCCTTGCAACCAGATCGTCTTAGAACTTGACGCAAATCTTCGTCAAAGTCTTCGCCGGTGTATTTATTATGAACCTTTCGCATAAAATAAGTATACGTTAAATTTAAGGAAAGCTTTTTCTTCTTAAATATATAAATACTATAATAGAACATAGAATTATACCTTTATTTGGAATATGGACAAACCGTTCATCCATGCAACGAACCTAGACAGAGTCGTCTTCCCAGCACCAGAGACACCAATAAGTAATAAGTGTCCCTGAGGCTGTCGGAAAATTCTGTCGATTCGTAGAACATGTTCAAGAACTTCGTCAAAAAGAACCAAAGGAACGTCCAATTCCTCTTCGTAAAATACTTTCAATCTTGCTTTAACATAATCTCGCAATTCTTGTCTATTGACTGGTACATAATCTTTAGATAACCAATTACTGTATAGTATAGGTCTGGCTAGTGCTCTCTCTTTATCAACACCCATAAAGTGTTTCATGGCGACAGTGTCGATATTTTTATTGGTCCAAGCTCTTTCAGAATCTTCTACTAACCTATCTTGGAAGAGGCGAAGCGCCTCATGTGCCCACAAACGTACTAACCCTTCAATCGACAGATTGTCAAGGGGTCTGATAGCTTCGCAGATCCCGCGCACCCAACGCGTCATTTCACGCGGAGAATAAACATAATGTGGTTGCATGTCTTGGGTAAATCTTTCCTGCGAAGCTAAATAAAATTCTACCATTGCATTCGTCAAAGATTCTGCGTAACCTCTTAAAGACGGTGTTAACCTGACATAAAAAATTACACATTGAAAGGATTATTTTATATAATGTATGTATATATTTTTGTAAATTCTTACCTAAGCATGGCGCGTGTAAATGTTCCATAGATTTGTTTCAAAGATGTCTCTCCTGGATAATCGACATAAATTACTGGAACGTGCCTTAGGAATCTATGGGTAAGAGGTTTTCTGCCTGGATCTGTTGGAGGATTACAAGCGCCAACAAACTGAATTCTTTCCAAAGTAACCCATGCTTGATCGCTAGTTCGGTAGAAACCTCTATGTTCTACTAACTGCCTCAGGAACGAGATTACACGTTGTGTTCCATAATTATCCATATCGGGTAAATTGATTTCATCACAGAATAAGACCAACCATTTGCCTAATTGTACCGGAGAGAGCACAACACCGTTAGGTGTTTTACGATATTCGCAATAATGATCAAAAGTTTTCAACAGCAATTCAGGTGTAGTAGCGGATGAAAAGTTTAACCCAACGACCTCCATATCGGGCAAAGCTCGTAAAGCAGAGAAAAGAGTCATGGTTTTACCAGAGCCCGGTGGTCCGCAAAGCACTAGAAAAGTTATATAATCTTTGGTTACATAGTTCCTATAAAATTTTATAATAGCTTGTGTAAATGTATTATAACATTACCTATTGGCTTGTGCTCTGCCAACCATGTGTAAAGTAAAATCTCGTGCCTTACAGTGTCTAAAGTGGGAACAACGATATCTGGACTGGCAACTTTATGCGTTTCTACTTCGATCTGCGGAACTTTATTGCTCCAAGGCAACCATTCACCATGGATGCTTACTTCAAAATCAATAATAGGAATGTTACTTTGCGTTGGCAAGGGTATAGTCGTAATAGATCGAACGAAATCTCCTAAATCGGATCTAACTTTTAATTTCGCATCTCCTACGAAACTCCACAACAACGCGTACACTAAACACTTTGGGATGTAACGCTCCAGTTGTTCGCTTGGCAAAGGAAAATCAGTATGCGAATGATTATATTGTAAAACATTGCGCACAGCTTGATTTAGCATGGAGAATAGGGAGCTTAATGCTCGGAGACGTGTAAAATCCATTATATGTTCTTGCTTCATGGCATACTCTAAACATCTCACTACCAATCCATCTGGTGCAAAGTAACTTTGTAAAATGCTAGCAACTTCTCTCTGTACCGATAATGCAGGAGACAAAGTATCGTCCTTTTCCGTCATCTTTTTGCTAAGATTGTCTTCTTCTCCGTCTTCGAGTGGAATGTTTCTTAAACGTAACATGTAATTTTCAAATATCATCTCTGTAGAAAGTACATCATCGGAGAACCAAACCATACCGCAACGAGAGACAGTAGCCAATGTGGCATATTTTAGGTCTTGCACTTCAAACATAACTCTCACGTTTGGTGGTAAACTTAAACGTTCACCGTTTGGTAACGTCAGCAGTTTATTGTCGTCTAATACGGAATTCAAGTTTTCAACCCATTCTGGATCAACATCGCCGTCAAATATGATCCATTGTCGTTTATTGATTTCTCCTCTTACATTGTCTATAATTTTTCTAAGAATATGTGTAAAAAGACCGTCTGTCCATTCGCGTGTATTCGGATCTAATACACCGTACAATGTTTCTTTGCTAATAGCTTTAGGATCGATCACATGGGCAACTCCTTCTATTCCTTCGAATCGTTCCAAAGCTTTCAACAGTACTTTCCATGCCGTCGTTTTTCCAGAGCCACTCGGTCCGACCATCATCAATCCATGATTCAGATTACAAATTTGATAGAGTTGCAGTACCTAAATTGACCAAGTAGTGACTTTTCGAAAAGTAGTAATCATCAAAATAAAAGGAAAATGATAATCATGCGAATTTACGAAACGGAATATCATATATGGAATTAAAAGATACCGGCCATGCAATGCTAGTCACGGTTTAGTTTTGCTCTCACCTTTTCTACCCAGGTCTCACCGACCATTTCCTGGGGGGAGGGGCGCATATGATAAACAGTTCAAGAATTAGGTACACATTATCTATCTTACACAATATATTTTCAGAAGAAACAGAATTTTTGTCACTTTACTCAATCTACCCTTTTTCATGCTATTCTTTTTAACAATGAAATGATGGGATAATGCAAGTAATGATTATTTAAAATATATTATATTATTACCTTTTCCTGCCAAGCCCCTCCTTGTTCGTCACCTTCACCACACACCAGGTACTCTTCCATGCATACCTTCCTTATTTGATCCTTCAATCCTATGAACATATGTTTTATTTTTTTATTAATAGGTGAAAAAGAATTGCGAACATATAAATGTCTAGTTTCAAATGTAAGGATTACCCTTCATTTCAGCACGTGTGTAATTCACATTCGGGAATACATCATTGAGTAAACTGAATAGCAATGGAATATCTTCGGCGACTAATTTTGGTACCATTGTTTCGCAAACGGATTGTATAAGAATTTCTTGTTCTGGCAAATTTTCTGCGATCGAAGCCTCGTCGATATTAGTCTTGCCACGATTCTGCATGCCTTCTTTAATCTTTTGAATTCGATCACGTTTCACATTTCCAGCGGAAATAAGTACAGATTTAAGTGCTCGAAGCCCGAAATCATAGTGAGATTGATTAGAAAGTTGTTCATCGCACAGCCTAATAATAAGGTCATATATTTAACACAGTCGAGACATATCTGAAATATAAGTAAGACTGAAAAACTTACTTGAAGAATGGTACGATCTTGCATGCTAATTTTTCAGCCGATCTAAATCCCTGACTGAAAAGCATTACTTCAGCAATCAACTGTCTATCTGGTGTCGTCATAGCTAACGATCTAAAGAGTTTCTTCAAATTATCGGGAAGATTTGATCGTCCAGCGTAGCCTGGATTCATTGTAATGAAGATCGCCATATCTGTAGATACTTTAACTTGTTTTCCAACTAATTCTACACACAATGTTCCTTCTTTCTTTCCTTCCATTTGACTTTTTAGTGCTTCTTGAATTGTTTGCACTTGTTGGGAAACAGCTGAAAGCATACGCTCTTCGAGACGATTAAATTCATCGAAACAACCCCATGCTCCTACTTGACAGAGACCAACGAAAATACGACCCATGGCCTAAGAAAAAGAACAAATAAAATATACCTTTAAACATAATCTGTTAAAAATAATATATACCGTATCGCTGTCTTAATCATATGTTCCGTTTACCTGAAAGTCGAATGTTTCGTCACAATTAAATACTAATACAAATCTTCCCAGTTGATGGCCGAGAGCCTTCACGGATTCAGTTTTCCCTGTTCCAGCCGGTCCAAACGGAGAACCTCCGAGACGAGCTTCTAAGGCTTGAGTCATTGTTAAATAACACCTATCGGTCAAAGGTGTTTGTACCAACCTATCTTGCACTCCTAGATATTCAAACCCGTAAAAAAATTTGGCATTTGCCATATGTATTGTAAGTTGTTGCAAAACTTCAGTCTGTCTCGGATCGAAGTAGAATCTCATTTCGCATAGCCACTCAAATGCTTTCGGATTGGAAACTTTGTTTGAAATTAATCTCCTTGTTACGGTGCGTTTATGTACGAATTCGTTAATCAGATGCTCTAATTTCTTCCGCCTTAATGGAGGCTTACTTGGATCACTTTGCGCTTCATGCAGAGCAGCTTCAACGTCTTCCGACCACAAGATCTGAGCAGCTAGGACTATAATTTGAGCCTGGTAATTGTCACACCATGTCATGAACGCCTGAGGATTAATATTTCCATCTTTGAACTGTTTGATATCTTGCACCGCTCTTGCAAGACTCGATGCTAGTGTAACTCTCATTTCTTTCTCTACAAGAGTCAACCATTCGTTGATTTTCGGATGATCAACAGTAGATACTGGATTTTGGAAAAGCACTTCTTCTCCTTCGCGAGAGGCAATGCCAGTAATAATATTATTATCGTCGTTCAACAGAATAGCTGCTACACCAGCAAACATTTTTTTAAAGTGTTTTTGTAATCTCGCGATGTTTTTGCTGTTACCGATAATTTCCAACAAATCCTCATCACCCACGAAATAAAAGCGTGGAAACGACGTACGTTCTCTTTCAAGATATTCTCCTAAAGCTTTTTGTATTTTGCCAAGTAAATCAGCTAAACGTTCAAGTGCTCTTTGTACACCAGGAATATTTAGGACGTCCATGACCATCGGAGATTTAGATACTTTTTTCATCAAACCAAGGAACTCCGAACTAATGCTCTGGAAACGAGATGTTTCAACAGGCAATAAAGTTTTGATATCAGCGCTTCCCGAGAAAATGCCTTCTAGATAAACCCAACGTCGTTGAACGTCTATCCATACGTCAAATAATGCATTGATTCTATTTAATTTTTCTTCCCAAGTTAATGCTTCCTCCTCAAATACTTTATAGTAAAGAGAGAGTTTCATAGCAGCGACGGAATTGATGTGTTCTTTGACCTTATTGAAAAGATCATCCCAACCACGAATTAATCTACACTTATTTTGGTAATTTATCAAATCCAATTCGTAAGTTTGCCAAGATTCTCGTACTTGCTTTAAGAACTCCTCTAATGCCATTTCACCTTGTGCAACAAGAATAATGTCTTTTACTATTCCTTCATTTTTCTGTAAATTTACGTCCCAGACTTGGCCAAGGGTAAGTTCACTCAATACCCAATTTACTCGTAATTGCCTTGTTAATTGTTTCCAATGTCTTTCTTTCAAAGCATCAGATTTCAATTCCACAATTAGCATGTTAACTTTGGTATAACTTTGCAACATTTTCTTGACATATTCGTACGAAGAGTATTGCCTTAGTCTGGCTGGTAGTTCTTTTAGTTGTGCCATCATTCCGTCTAACTGTTGGCGTAATTTTCTTGGCTGAACGGATAACCATGGTTTTTCACGCGTATCATCGATCTGCGCCCATATTTTTGACAATTCTGACCAAACTCCTTTTAAATCTTGAAGCTCTTCGAATACTATTTGCATTCTATCCTCACTGGTTGAAACAACTCCCGGTTCCTGTAACTCTAAAGCCTCCTTAGCCTTTGCTACATTGTCTCTTTCCTCTTTCAATCTAGCAAACTTGCTTTCAAACAACTGTAATTGTTGCAATGCATCGTCTGGCCGCAAATGACCCTCAACTGGCTTGCCTCTTTCCCAATCACTCAGGAAATCAGTGGTCCTTATTTCAACTGCTTTATCTTCTGCTACAATTTTCATTTGTAGCGACGCAACTTGTGTTTGTATATTTGTATCTTTCCTCTTAATTATTTCATTGAATGCACCCCATTCGCCTTCTATGTTATCCACATGTAACCAAGAGGAAGGGAACTGGAACCTTTGACGTTCCAATATTCTTTGACCTTCGCGATATATATCAACTTGTTTCTCCCAGGCTTTCATTTTACGTTTCAACGATTGAACATAAGTTATGAATCCAACTGCATCTGAGGTACTAGCAGCTTCAATGGATTGTTGCTCTAAATCGCTTCTTGATTTTGATATTTGCGAATGGAAGCTAGACATTTCATTGCCGAGAAGAGTTCCGAACTTACCCAAAGTTTCTTTGTGCCACGAATCATATTTCAAAGATACTTTGCTTTGTACCTTTGCAAAATCAATGATAACCGGACCAAATTCGCGTCTAGTGTCCGATGTATCGAAAGTAGCTCTGGATTTTTTAATATCATTTAAACATTTCATCCACAAGTTTATGTTTTCTCCTAATTTTCCATATAAATTATCTGGTTGTAGGTCCCAAAGAGCTTGATAGCGCAACCATTGATCCACATAATCGGCAATATCTTTCATTTTAGATTCAACTGCTTCATAAGCTGCTTCTAAATGATGTACTCCGTACGGTAATTTTGTAAGTAAATTTCTATAAGTACCCGATTCAGGTTTATATAAACCTACGTTATATCTTGAACTCTGTAGTCGAACTTGGGAAGTGACAATAGCTTGCCATGCAAACAATTGTTGCATTATTTGGAACCTTGCATCTTCAATGCTTGGATACAAGTACATTGTCTGATTAGTTATGCGAACTTCGTGTATTTGATTCTGAATCTTCGGATCACCACCAGGTTTATGAGTTGGCTGAGAAGGTGCATCTGTATCCATACTTAGATCTACTCCCCTCTTTTGACCAGTGAGTGCATCAGTCCATGCTTTTATCCCAGCTTCTAATCTGGCTGCTAAATTCTTTTCTACTTCTTGATCGAGTCTAGACACCCAAATAGTTAAATTTGAATAATTCTTTAAAGATAGTTCGTCCACGGCTTTCTGAATTTTGGAAAGTATATCGGCAAATGTATTTGCCGAATATGGGCATGTTTCAAGAGATCGAACATCAACATCCAATTGTTCTTCAACCACCATAAGATCTTCAACTTTTTCTTGAAATGAAACAACAGTTTCGGAAAGACGTTGCACATACTGATCCAACTTATAACTTTCCCAAATCATCCCAATCCCCTAAATTAAAAAATGATGATAATTTTAGCTAGTGCTAAAATAGTAAAATTCTAATATAATGTAATTATATACAAATTAAAACTTACTTCAGAAATAAGCGACAACACGTCGTTACGCATTCCAGCAACTAATGGTATGATACTGGCTTTATCTTCGATCTAGGAAAAAAGATAGATTATGAAGTAAAATTAAAAGAAAGTTATCCTACTCTGACCATACCAATACAATTTTACGACATAAATTACAATTTACCATTCAATAATTTACAGACAAGGCAAACAAAAGTTTTACATGTCCATAGCTGATGCTAAGAAATTATATGACAATTTTTATTTGCGTTTGATGTATTACAGAAACTGAGAAATATACTATATGAATTACAAGCAACTTTTGGAATGTGCGGACAGCCAAACCATTTAAATCAATTATGATCGCGGAATGCAAGTTTCATAAAATGAAGGACATTGAAATAGAAATAGAAGTTTATTCATAAGAATTTTGTAGACTTTTCGTAAGAAATTCAAAGGCCAGCGAAATCAGAAAAATTCGAAAGCTGTAATATAATATAATTTAATTAAAAGTGAAAAGAAAACCCGAATTTTTCTCGGGTTCCCGCACATCCTATGATTCGTAAAAATCGTACGCTCTTGCAGTACACATTTTTCTACAAGAACTAAGCAGGCATACAGTAATGATTTGCAAATATAGGCAAGATGCACAAGTCCTGAAAGCATCATATATGACTACCTTCAGTGCGGGGCAGTGAGGACTCCGATTGGTAAGCTAAAAATATTGGACACCCAAGGAATTAGAAATATCAATATTGCTAATATGTACTTTTAACCTGGTTCTATTCCCTATCATTGTCTATCCGTTTACTCGTATTTTCAAAGCTTCAAATTGCTTATATTATCGCAAAGATAATAATCAATAAAATTGTGTTGCAATATGACCGTGAAATTTCTTTAAAATCGTACACCAATTTTAAAGACGTATAATCAAAAGTAAGAAAACGTATAATTATAAAAAAATATTACCTTTTCGAGTGTTCTTTCGTAAGTTCTGATGCTCTCGATCAAACTGATAGCAAAGGGGTATAACTGATTGGCCATATGTGCTCTATTCACAATTGATAAAGGTACACGGAAACCAAGATTTCTCATGTTTCTTACTTCCTTTGATAATGTAATAATTTCAGGAAGGAAATTCACTTTCAACTTTAATAAAGTACCATGACCTGATCGTGATCGGACATTTTCAATTATAAAAATCCTTCCGGTAACGCCAAGATTTCTTAGTTGCACTTTACGTGCCCAATCGTCAAAAATTTCCTGAGTCGATAGCTTCATACGAAAACTATCTCCATCAGCTTTTAATTTTTGACCTTCAATATGACTTTCCCAGCCTTTCCCTATGAAAACAAACAAATTAAAACTTTATATAAATACACGAAACAATTCAAATACGTACCTAAGACATCTTCAACTCGTTTTAAGTACATTGTAAGCTGGTAATCAATTTGCTTGACCCAAATAATAGAGCCAGCAACAGGTGGTAAATCTCTGACTATGCTCATTCTACAACATTTACTTTGTGCATACTGAACCTGAATTAGTAACATGATTAACTATTAGTAAAAAATAATAACTTAAGCTAATAATTTTTGCATTTTTTTCACATTCTTATACCTTGAACTTTTCATGTAACGTTTCTATATCATCTTTTACTCTCTGTATCAACTGTGTTTGATATTCTCTAATAGCGCCACGGATATGTGGTCTTACAAACAGTGCATTGAAACGTGAAAAAATTCTGAACATTTCGTTCGCATTCTTCGCAGTACCTAGTTGTTCTCGGAGATGCGCCGTAATTCTTGCTTCAACTCTATCGATACGTTCTTCATATCTATGGACAGCAGCCTTCCAGGATTCAACACCTTCTTTAGTAATATCAAGACAATCAATTTCTTTTACATTTTCATACGCCAAATTTACTTCACTAATGGCATTTACATCTGCCGCAACCAAACCCAATTCGACCTTTACATTATCGTTATCTGACTTCTCTATTGCCGCATTATTGTTATTCTTCTGACGAACGGTAGGTCTTAGTACGCGAAGAATGACTGTTCTGAGTTGTTCGTGTTGTCGGCGGAAATTTCGCATTTGTTCCATTCTAGCTTGTATTTTTTTATGCGCTGGTGAAACTCTCCATACCATTTTCATATTTTCATCTCGTTTCTTCTTAACAATATCTCTTAGTAATCCAGTTAATTTTTCATATTCATCATCCCATGTATTAAATACTTCAAAACATTGTTCCATAACTTTTTCAAACTCATCATATGGAATGTGCATTAATCTCCTTGTGCCTAACACTTTAAGAAGTTGACGCCCGAGGTCTCTAGAAATAGCTTCTATCAACCTCAGTACTCTTTGAATAGGATATTTTGTGCTTCTAATTTTTCGTAAGTGCATAAATATTTGCTGAACACTAGTTTTTATTCTTTCAAGTTCTGTAGCTGATAGTAAATCATTGATTGGAAAATCTTTCATTAAGGGATTGTAATCGTCGACAGTAGCCAAAGCTTGTTGTAGGCCAGTATCTATATCAAAACTAACGGTTGCGTGGAATCTCTTTCCATACTTAAGTATATCAAGGGTCAAAGTAATCTCTATACTTTCTCTTTTCTCTTGTATTCGATGCAATGCTCTTTCCAGGTTTAACCAAAAAGAAATTTCTTGTAAAGCTGTACCTGATTCTGGATCACGATTTAGTTTGGTCACCTACAAAGAAATTAATAAATATATAATATATACAAAATTAAAGTCATAAAATCTTTACCTTCTGAATTTCCTTTATCCATCTATTAACACCATTCTGCAACTGGTTGAGGAATGTTGAATCTTCAACTTTGTCACCAAAATCAGCAACTTTGGGCTTACGATTTTCTTCCACACATTGTTTAATTACTTGTGCAACAACTGGATGAATTTGTAATGAAATCTCTGGAATATCTATGTTTTGTTGTAAATGCAATAAACCCATTTCAAGTTCTGCTATTTTCTTTTCAACAGATGGTGCCATTTTGTCACCATCTCTATCTGTACGACCTGTTTCTTTTACATAGCTTTTAAAATATGGAGCCATAGTTTTACTAATGGCATGCAATGTTTCATATGCTGGTCCATCAGAGAAGGTAACTAAATGTAACTGTGAGTGAATAGATTTATCAGCTTCAACTATTGCTCCACGTTTTGTTAAAACTAAGGAGGCCATTTTAGGACTAGTGAAATGTATCTCATTTGATATATAGAAAAGAGTACTTTCTTTTTCTTCATCTCCTTCATTATTATCCTCCTCTACAAAATAATAAATAAAAATGTAACAAAACATTCAATATACATGTATTGTACTTTAGGATAATAAAATACTTCATCTTTTTCATAAATACTTAATATGATACTTAATGATAACAAATGTACAAATATGCAACATTAGCCAAATTAGGTTGTGCTTGGTATAATGCAACCAACATGTGTTTCTTTTTAACGTAATATTTCGAAAAATATGATTAATACAAAATATTGTATACCGGCACATATTTATGATAAATTAATGAACAGGTAAAAAATGTTAATGACGAAGAATGTAATAATGCTGTTACGTGTATTGATTACATTAATGTATGAGTCATATTTAGGAGAAATTTAAATGCATCAAACGACAAATGCCGCATTAATGTTCAGGGTACGTTTCCTGTCGCCGCTTAATGTACCGTTGTATCGAAAGACTGCAATGGAGGATATCGTAGGAGGGCAGAGTGCAAAATTCACGGCAATAAATTTGCCAAATTATTTAACGTGTTTCAATTTACACACCTTTACTGGAACTTCTTTGTATGTAAAGCGCCCACACTTGAGAATCGCTTATGAATTTTCGTATCGACTCTTGGTTGTCCTTATCTTCGAGTGCGGAATTGAACGCGGGTGGTACTACATCTTCATCGGGTAGAAGGACCATTACAATCTTCTTTAAATAATTAACAAATTCCCAATGTCCTACGACAATTTGGATCTCCGGGGATGGTTCCCCGGAGCTATCCAAGGAATCACCCATCCTATGATAATTAGTTTCGCAAAATTTTTAAGATCTTGAGCGGGTGATCGGTCGATCCCCGCTCTAGGATGAACTGTCACACAAATGATGACGGGTTACAGTAGGCATAGACTACGGCACACACGTATATACTTAGAAACTGTAACGATTCTCCACTAGTAACGCCATTTTCTTACTCCCTCTTTTATCCATCATGTTGACCAGTTTTCATGTTACTTTAGCCAAATCGCAATTGCACACTTTTGCATTAGCTTTGTACATGTTTTACTCGTTATATTTCTAGTTGGTGAATACTTTGTGATTAAATATATTTATTAAATTTATATCTTTCGTTAATATTACTTCTCTTCAGATATGGTTATCGTAGAAAAAAAGGAGCGATTTTTATTATAAACAATTTTAGCATTTCTGCGATAGAAACGATACCTTACGTACGCGATTTCAGACACATGCTCAGTATGTATTAAGCATTGTACATGCGCACGCGTATGGACTATGGAGCAGGGAAAGGGTGGTTGAGAGCAGCAGGTGTAGAATTCTTGCGGTGATTTTAACGGAAATATTAGTGCAGCAAAAATTAGTACAGGCAATAGTAACACTTGCAAAGGATTGTATTTTTTTTTTAAAATAAGTTTAGTACTACCAGCAACATATGTAATTACAAGTCTATCTATAATAAAAGAGCATTTTGCACCGGCTGATAACGCGTAACTGTCTCGATCGATTTACGTTTGTGCTTATTCTCTTACAATGGAAGCTTTGATACCCGTAATAAATAAATTACAAGATGTATTTAACACTGTTGGCGCTGATGCAATACAATTACCTCAAATCGTAGTACTTGGTACACAGGTCAGTTGATATTTTCTGAACTACCGATAGAATAAGATTCGTATCTTTGTAATTTCGATGCAAGTTTAAATTTTTTGCACCTACGAAAGATAAGAATACGCACTTGAATAGACCGTTCATTTCTATTGTTGCATTTATCAAACTTCATTCAAATTAGATAAATACTAAAGAATGTCTAGCAGTAAACGTAAATAGAAATTCACATTTTGTAATTCATACACCATTCTTGGATAGTTTTATTAAACGTGACGTTTTGTTTTTTTAGAGTTCAGGAAAGTCATCAGTAATTGAGAGTCTGGTAGGTCGGTCTTTTTTACCACGTGGGACTGGTATAGTTACTAGACGTCCTTTGGTATTACAACTTGTCTATACACCCAAAGATGATCGTGAACATCGAAATACAGAAAATGGAACTTTGGATTTAGACGAGTGGGGCACATTTTTACATGTAAAAAATAAAATTTTCACAGACTTTGATGATATTCGTAAAGAAATAGAAAGTGAAACAAATCGCATGGCTGGGTCCAATAAAGGAATTTGCCCTGAACCAATTAATTTAAAGATATATTCAACAACAGTTGTTAATCTCACTCTGATAGATCTTCCTGGTATCACAAAGGTACCAGTTGGTGACCAACCTGAGGATATTGAAAGTCAAATACGTCTACTTGTATTGAAATATATATGTAATCCTAACTCTATTATATTAGCTGTTGTTACTGCAAATACTGACATGGCTACCAGTGAAAGTTTAAAGTTTAGCAAAGATGTGGATCCAGATGGAAGGCGTACTTTGGCTGTTGTCACTAAATTGGATCTCATGGATGCTGGTAATTTTTATTGTTATTTAAAGTTTTTAATCTTATAATAAATTATAAAGTTACTATATTGTGTATACTGTTCTAGGTACCGATGCTATAGATATATTATGTGGCAGAGTAATTCCTGTAAAATTAGGAATCATTGGAATAGTTAATCGCTCTCAACAGGATATAATGAATAATAAAACTATTCAAGATGCACTGAAGGATGAAGCTGCATTTTTGCAACGTAAATATCCCACTTTAGCAAACAGAAATGGAACTCCTTATTTAGCTAAGACTTTAAACCGCTTACTCATGCACCATATTAGGGACTGCCTTCCTGAGTTAAAGGTAACTACAAGGTTTTCAAATAGTAAATGGTTTCTAGTATATAGTTGAAATAAAGCTAAAGTAAATATAATTTGGTAGAACTTATATTTTTTAAAAACAGACAAGAGTCAATGTGATGGTTTCACAATTTCAAACCCTACTTAATTCATACGGCGAAGATGTTAGTGACAGTAGTCAAACTTTACTTCAAATTATTACCAAATTTTCAAGCAGTTATTGTTCTACGATCGAAGGAACGGCCAGGAACATAGAAACAACAGAATTGTGTGGTGGCGCTCGAATTTGTTATATATTTCATGAAACGTTTGGTAAAACACTAGATTCTATACACCCGCTGGCGGGTCTCGCGAAAATAGATATTTTGACAGCCATTCGAAACGCTACTGGTCCAAGACCCGCTTTGTTTGTGCCAGAGATTTCTTTCGAATTATTAGTTAAGCGGCAAATTCGAAGACTTGAGGAGCCGTCTTTACGATGTGTAGAACTCGTACACGAGGAAATGCAACGAATTATACAACACTGTGGTACTGAAGTACACCAAGAAATGTTACGTTTTCCTAACTTACACGAACGTATTGTCGATGTAGTAACACAGTTATTACGCCGACGTCTCCCACCTACTAATCATATGGTTGAAAATTTAGTTGCTATAGAACTAGCGTATATCAATACTAAGCATCCAGATTTTCATAAGGACGCGGCTCTTGTATCGTCTTTGCTAAAAAATACTGACGTGGACCATATAAAACAAAACAGAAGACTTCCGTCTACTTCAAGCACCACATCGAGTACTATAATTCCAAACAATACGGTAAATAACTGTTACTAATATTTATAATCGTTTCAAAATATTTTGAATGTGGTGACCATTTGTCTCCTTATCATACCCATTTTTACGTTTAATTAAAAGATATAACATTCCAAATGTCTTTAATCTGTATTTGTGTGCTGTGTAACTAAACGCATTAAATGTTTCTAACAGAATGTAAAGTCAATTAATAACCAAGACGAAGTAGCATCTTCTTCTGAGCAGAATAAGGACCAAGGCCATCAAACGGTGTTAGGTAATTGGTTGTTAAATAGTCTTATATATCAAGGAAGAACCGATTCGAGTAGTTCAGTTGACGGTTCTCCAGTGAGAAATCGTGAAGGCAGCACTTCTCCACATCCAAATGCAAGTCCAAATCCAATGATTGAGCTGCAGAGAGCATCTCCACAACAGAAACCTGTGAATCTACTGCCAGAGGTACCAGTGCAAACATCGCGCAAACTGAATGAACGAGAACAACGAGACTGTGATGTAATTGGTATGAAAAGGAATGTTTTCCGTTTTTCCAAAAAACATATTTCATTTCACTCATTTATATATATTTTTATTCTTTACAGAAAGACTAATAAAATCATACTTTTATATTGTACGAAAATCTATACAGGATAGTGTACCAAAAGCTGTCATGCATTTCCTAGTCAACTATGTAAAAGATAACTTACAAAGCGAACTTGTAACGCATTTATACAAATCAGATCACGCCAATGTCCTCTTAAACGAGAGTGAACATGTTGCTGTTAGGCGTAAAGAAGCAGCAGATATGCTGAAGGTACATTTACAAAAACTACGGCGTGTTCTTTCTATAAATCAAACATTTCAAATAATTTATCGTTTTACTCATATGTATTTTATTACAGGCACTAACACAAGCTGGTCACATCATTAGTGAAATTCGAGAAACACATATGTGGTAACTGAATTTACACATTATTCACAGGATCAGTTTATAGTTCAATTTAGACATTTTGATGGTTTAGTAGGTAAACCGACAACTGAAATCACGTGTATATTAAAGTACTGCATGTCATTTGTATGCAAGCAGTGTTTACAACTACAACAATAATTTTTAAGATTTATGCATTTTCTTTTAGTTTCATTTTATAGGCATAACATAACACAATATTATAACACGTGCATTTATAGTAAAGGACGGTATTGAACGATTAAGGTATTACCACTGCGAACAATGGTGCTCATGCCAAAACTCTATTTCAAATGCCTTACTAAATTTATGTGAATATTCTGTTTACATCGGAAATATCAACTTGTCCGATTATCGCGAAATGTAAGAATAAGTGTAACCGATCGTAAATGCAGAGCAGATTTTTTTTCTTTTTGTAACATTTTGCACTGCGTGAAAAAATTGAAAAATGAATAGTATTTAATACAAAGGAGTAACATAAAGGACTTTGTTTTCAAGTACTTGTGATAAATATCATAAGCTATGTATATGACTGTGCGAGTACGCACATTTATGTATATTATACACATATACATCTATTAAAATTTTTGTTGATTTAATATTATTGAGAGATGCAGCCACACTGATTGTAACATTGAATAATACATTGTTGTGTTTTGATAGTTTCCATGTTGGGTGCAGCAAAAAACTTTTCAATAAATTGTATGTGCTCAAGCAACTGGGGCAGAGCCTGCTCATAATGACCTTTATACATTTGAGAAGTGGCATTTAATCTTTTCTCTAATGATTTTCGAAATTGATTTTTTATTTTCTTGTAATCAATTTTCTTAGTACAGTTGCAACATTGTTCACACGATGCGATTTGTGTATTATTTTTTTCATTTAGTGTAATCGTGCCAATAATTTCTGAACACGTTTTACATTTATAATTCATTGTTTCGGGTAGCGGATATTGCCAATTTTGTGTACAAGCTTCACATGCACACACAAAACGATACTTTTTCCACAAGAATTCACGCCTCGATAATCTTCCCTCACTAAGCCAGTGTGGTCCATAACAATCAAGAATTTCGGTACCCTCACCGATAAAGCGTAATGTTCTCACTACAACTATTCCTGTGGAAAATTACGTTTATTTGGTATATATATACATATATATAGCATAGGGACTCGTTTATTATGGTGCATTCTTTACCTGATGGATAAGAATGACGGACGACGTTTGGATAACAACTATGATTTACAAGGCTAACCGTGGGATAAATTGCGCCGCCTACATGCCTTGGTTCCCAAACATGCGTTTCTTTATCGTATATGTTTTCTACAATCTCATAAGCATTGCAATTAATAGCCTGCAAGTGGTGCAATGTTGCTACAGCCAAAGAGATGAAAGTTTCTTTCAAGCAAACAACGTCCATTATACCCAAGACAAAAGTGAAGCACTTTGCCAAGAATATAGCTTCGATAGCACGGATAAGATTTATGCGAGGTTCCATGTCCGAGCAATGAGTTTCTAAATTTAATACAGTATGATAATCGTGAGAGTTATAAGCCTCGCTTATTCCTAAATTGCTATACTCTTTATTTGCGTTTGTAATATGATACCGCAGAAAATTGTCATTCAGGAAAGGAATTTCACTTTCTTCTGTATTATTGTTAATGTGTTCAGTGTTGGAAGATATAAATCCTGCGACTATCAGTCTATAAGCTAATAACAAGTGTGAAGTGTGTCGTTGCGTTTGTTCAGAATCGTTTTCGTAAAAAGCATCAAATATGAAACATTCGTACTGATGGTACATTTGCCATGCCTCTTTGCGACACTTTTCTGAACAGTAAGATACCTGTAGAAGTACAAACTCATATTTTACATTCATATTTTAGGAATAATAAATAGATAAAAAGGTAAAAAAAAAATTAGGATTATTCGTATTACTAACTGTTTGACAAAAATAGCAAGGAATTTTAACACTGTCGTTTGATTTAAGAGTAACATGACAATGTAAACAATTCCTATTAAGTGCCTCTTTATTCGTACTGAAAGCAAATGGTTGTTCGACGATTAGGACACTTCCTGCATTAATGTTTTTGGTAGCTATGAGATGTCGACCTTTTTTCTCGTCAAATTTCATTGTCACAGCATCGGAACAACTTTTAAGAACGGTATGTTGTTTCCCATCTACAGGGGGTATTGTTGGTGTACGATTCGTTGATAATGGATTCAACGTCGAACCACTTTGGTTCTTGTTCAATTTTCTACGTAGTCTTTTGTCCTGAGAAGACGGTACTTTCAACTTTTTGGAGCATTCATGTTGTAAGTGGGTACATGCTTTTCTATGCTCCAAGAAATCATTCATACTTTCGGTAGTTTTATCGTAAAGGTTTTCAGGAAGTGCAAGCATGCATTCACAATATTTTAGGCATTTTACGAAAGCTTTCGAATTATAGCAATACTGTGCGCAATCTGAAAGCGCGTCCAGGAACACTCTACTGGTGACACTGGCCGTAAACAGTGTTTCGGTAAGAATATCACTTTTATTTCCCCGTTCGTGCACTACTCCATCGTTAGCTATTTCCCCATGACTATTCCCGTAAAGTTCTATCGCTTTAATGTCATCCTTACCCTTGTACGATTGAACAATTTTTACGTTCTCTATATACGGTATGTCCATAAGAATCTTTATCATTCCTTCCCTATCTCCATTTGAAGATAATTCCTTGAAACGATTTGCATACGGTTCCACAGTTGCGGCGTCGTAAGCGATCTTGAAAAATTCGCTAAATTTTATATACCTAACATCAATTTAAATACATTAGAGGAATAGCATAGTAATAAAATTAATTCAATGATTGTCGCATTACTTCAGCGACAGTGCGCATAGTCGACAAAATTTAATTTAGATCTCTAAATTTAACGGTGCAAATTAATCAAAGACCGAAATAGTTTCGAGCCTTCCATTTTCACGTACGCATAGTGAACTTTATGTGCGCAATATTTTATCGTACAATTTAAAACATTTCAATTATATAATTTATATGTTTATTGACTCTATTACTTGTAGTTGATAAAATCAAATGCAAATTATATGTTTTACTTTTATTAGAGGTCATGAGAAATGATTGTTAACTTACCCTTTTGTAAAAGACATGATTTCATAAAGGATCGATAAATTGTTTAAATATTATTTTACATTAACACACGCATGTTTGTCGCAGATACAAGACAAGACGGATGAGCTGTGACGAATTCTAAAATTAGATATTAGATTTTACACTGGGACATGTTCATGGCATCTGCCGTACATTTAAATTTATAGTTGATGAAAAATAATAAACAAATAAAATAAAATTACATTGTTCGTTGCATTATTATCGTTGATAAATACATTGAAAATTTTCGATATAAGTTACTGGATACAATTATATATATATGTAAAAACAAAACAAAATTTAAACATTGATTTTTAATACTACTATTTTACGACTGATGCCGCTGGTGTAGATAACCATCAAGTGTACGAAACGTCACATGATAAAAACGGGTGTGAGCGTTTTCTCTTAGTTCGTACGTGAAATGTTCTTATCTGAAAAATTTACAAGTTTTTACCAATAACTTATACTTTAAAATTATAGTTAATTGTCCATTAACATTTCTATATTTCTCCTAAGAACTACACGCGACGACGAAATAAAGAGCAGCACAATGAGGTACATCTTGGGCACTACTTTTGCAGGCACTGCTTCTGCAACAATTCTAATATTAGGTATTAATTAACTTTTATTTATTTACCTCCAGATATATTTAAATATTACTAAAGCTAATTAACCAAAAAGAAAGCAAGTCCATTGTAAAAGTCATTAATAAAAAATTGATCCTGATGCTTGTGTTATTTTCTCTTTATAATATCTGTATTTATGAAATAATATTCTGTTACAGTAATGTATCATTTATTCACTGGAAAAGGAGAACGTGTTAGCATTGCATGGTAAGTAAAGAGACCTTAACCAAGTGCCTTTTTTATTAAAAATTACAAAGGTATATCTACATAGATGTATATTATTATGAGCAACAATTTTTGGAAGGTTTTTGGAAAGTACATCGCCATATATGTGGGCAACTCTTGGTATTGGACTTGCAGTTGCTTTGTCTGTAGTTGGTGCTGCATTGTGAGTTTTAAGTTTTAAGAGTAGTTATTATTATTTGTATACATTTTAAAAAGTAATATGAATGAAATTTTTCAGAGGCATCCATACAACAGGAGTTTCAATTGTTGGAGGTGGTGTAAAAGCTCCAAGAATTAAAACAAAAAACTTAATTTCTGTAATATTTTGTGAAGCTGTTGCTATTTATGGCTTGATCACTGCCATTGTATTATCTGGAATGTTAGAGGAATTTAGTTATGAAAAAGCTGCTGAAATAGAAGAAATTCGCAATCAGAATTGGCTGGCTGGCTATTTAATGTTTGGAGCTGGTTTAGCTGTTGGTCTGGTCAATCTATTTTGTGGTATAACTGTTGGTATTGTTGGTTCTGGTGCAGCTCTCTCTGATGCAGCCAATTCTGCTCTTTTTGTTAAAATTCTCATTGTGGAAATCTTTGGCTCTGCCATTGGACTTTTTGGATTGATTGTTGGAATTTACATGGTAAGTCATTTAAAGATTTGATTACCTTATTTTAAAATATTAATCAATTCCCATTTGTTTATAGACATCTAAAGTCAAAATGGGAAGTGAGAAAGTGGCAAATAAGATATAAATTTAACATAAACAGGAACAATACAAAAATATCCATAAAATATTTTTTGGAATTACATTTCATTCCATGTTTAGTGATTATTGGAAAAGAAAAATAAATATAGAAGAGAAGTGCAGAATAATTTTTCTGCTTAAACTAATCTAAAACAGTTTCTTTTTCGTATAAGGTTGGTATCTGGATGCCATTTGGAACAAATGTAATTTTGTTGCAAATAGGCTTTAATGAAAACAGTTGTTACAACTTAGCAAGCTGCATATAAGGATTTCCGCGTATCAACCATGTGTATAATTAACTATTTCTGGTAGTATCAAACTTATTACTGTAATGTAGCCTCTTGTTTATAGCATTTTGAGTGCGTTATAGCGCTCTCCTGCGATCACATCTATTGTATATATTTTTTTTAACAAAAATATTGAAAATGTCGAATACAAAGTTATACTTACTCATATATGTGTAAAATATACTGCATATAATATTACTTATGATTTGAATTATTTTTACTAGATAGAATGAAAAAAGTCATTTTTTATTCGTTTAACAATAATATAAAAATTCTTAACTAATGTCATACATAAATTCATGACATTAACAGTATTAGAGATTCTTGTTATTCTGAATACAATAGTAACTGGATAATACTTCAGATCGATGTATATAAAATATAATATAATACAATATAATAGTGTTATTTTCCATAGGCCATAACCTGATGAATATTTTCAAATGCCTTCTCCAAACATTTTACATATTCGTTCGCGTTGCAATTACTTTTATAACTTGTTACAATAGCTCCCAATCTTTCGTCTTGAATCATGTATCTGAACATAAAAACGATTGTAGTAGAGAAAAATATCCTAAGATTACTGTATATTATTAGACTGCGGATAATATGTTTATAAAAACAATAAAAAAAATGTACGTCGTACCCGATTCCATATCCATTATTTACTACAGGTCCAAAACCGCCACAATATATAGCTGGATCCGAAAGAGTCGAAGTAGATAAAATGTTATTGTTTATATTATCATATGCTGGATCCTCAAAAATAGCTGGTTTTGGAGTGTTTGAATGTTCCCAAATTTTTTTTAATGCAAATAAATGTCTATCAAATCCCTGTCCTATAAGGCAAATTTAATTAGTTTATCGTTTTTTTCGTTAGATAAATAGATCGAACAGAAAATTTAATAATTTTTTATACATACCCATAACAGCTTCTTTAGAGAGTTTATTATGAACGTTACTACAATTAATTATTAAATGTTTTAATTCGGACATGGATAAGTTGCCATTCTTCTGAGCTATAACTTCACAAGTTTTTTTTGTTTCCATTGTACAGGACCTAAGAGTTTCTGTTCGACCATGTTTGAATGCAGCCGTACTACAAGATTCATACGTCGGTACTGCACAGTTTGTTTGATAGTATAAAGCTAACTGAAATGCCAACTGCATAATTGCATCGGGACTTACACCAAATTGTTTACATTTATTTTTACCAAATTCATTAAATATCATATGATCAATACTTAATTCTCTGGACCATTCTTGAAACTTTGTCTTTTGTGAATTAACAGCAGTTTGTATTTTATCATCTATAACAAATTCAAGTTTCTTGACCTTCATTGTTCCTGTCCCAAGATGCTGAATATCGTCAGGACAGAATTTTGGCTGTTTTGTTATATCATCATTTACATCCTTAAAGTGAAAAAGCAAAAAAAAAAAAAAGAATGTTATTGAACACTATACATTTTTGAATTCATTTTTAATGTTATGTACCTTAAGAAATCTTAAGACAGCTACTCCATCTCCCCAAGAATGTTCAAAATTTATTCCAGCAAATCCATCCTTTGTAACAATTAAAGAAAATGACTTATCAAACCACCTGTTTGTTCCACCAGAATGAAGATATGTTCCAATCAACTTGTTATAGTCAGTACCAATAAGCAAATCATCTAGTATCATCATAAATATAGCAGAGTCTATTTTTTGTAGAACTTCTTGATTACCAATTTGTGATAAATGCATTCTCGTATTAGCCCATAAATCACGATTTAATGTTGTAAGTACTCCAATAGGGCTTTCACTGTCTGATAAGTTTTCTTCTAAAATATACTTTAGACAATCTGCTATTGCATTTGGTTCCTGAATATAACCATTTTCATCCATTACATCAACACAATAGAAGTGTCCTTTTCTCATTACAATTATATGTTTTCCAGATGTATTTTCATAAATTTCATCTTTCTCTGGTTTTGGTAATCTTGTTGTATTAAATAAGTTGTGATATTGTGACATATCCAATGGAAAAGCCTAAAATAATAATTTTTTATCTGAAATATCGAAAAGTTGCTCCTTTCAAGATGGTAAAATAAAAAAGTAAAACACTTTTATTCATCTGTCAGAGAAATTTCTAATTTGAGCTGTCATTGTTATCTCACCTTAAATAAGTAAGCTCCATACCAACTGAATTGAGGTGGTAGTAATCTTGTAACTGTATGAAATGTGTTACTGCTAGATGTTTCAGGTTTTAAATAAAATATCTCTGGTCGTAGAACATTTTCTTTTAATGACTTCATGAATCTTAGTGATGATATAACAAGATTTGTAGCTTTTACTAATTGCATGTTATATTTTGCATTATTTGCTGGTTCAAGAACTAAGAAGGGATTATAATTGATTGGTAAAGATTTACGGTCCCTGAGATACATATCAAACCAAGGTTCACTAATATAACTAGTATGACGATTTCTAGCATCATTCTCAATAAGTTCTTTTTGCAACTTAACACCTTCTTTAGTCAGAAATTGATCAACATAAGTTGTAGTTTTTTCTAGCTGTTCTTTAGATAACAATGGTCTCTGTGCATTTAAATACCTCTTGCATGTGTCCTCTAATTTTGGAATAGGTAAACGTGGTAGAGATGGTTGAAAATGCAATGTTGGAGTCTTACTTCTTTCAATATATTGATATTCTTCATTCCATTTTGTGGATATGCTTCTATAATAAATAGGATTTAAAAAAGTGTTATTTAATAAAGTGCAGGATTTAAAAAAGTGTTATTTACCTTGATGCTCTTAATAATAATTGCACTTTTCCCTGATCAATCTAAAATATTAGAACAATTATTATTGTACAATACCATAATTACACTTGTTGTATAATAATTATATATTAAATACATAAAGTTTACGAATTACTTACCAGTTTTGTCTTATAGTAGTTAAATTTTAATATGAAAGAGAGCATATTGTAATTATCTTATAAGACTTATTTACTATCAACTGTATGCAACTTTACAAAATATATTTATAAACTATAAGAAACTATAACGATAAACAAAATATACCTTACAGTATTTCAATGTACCACTCTTAATTTAAACTAACTGTACAATCAAGTTTATACCTTTTTTTTTTATACAGAAATGTATACATATATGCATATATGTGCATACATTGATAACATATGCAGCATTTTTATGCGTAGTTAAAAACATTATAAATATTTATAATTTTTACATGCGTGTATATACATTATTATCTTTTTCATCGTTTTTGAATATTAAAAATTAATTAAGAATGTAATGTACGTAAGGGAGCATTCGCAACGATAGACTATGAAAGAATTTATTTAGGAAAACGCGTTTTTCAACCAATAGTAAAATACTTTCTATGCAATCTGAAATGTTTGTGATTGGTCGTTGTAACGAAATTCACGAATTTCCCGCTTTTTAGAATGCTAAAGAAGCGTAATGGAACCTTTGACGAATATAAATAAAGTATTGTGCATTTTTCAGTTTGTTTTCTTAAAATTCATAATAGTTCTGTATAACCTCTATTGATATGATTGAAACAGTTTTGTCATTGATTAAAATTGTGCCTTAGAAAAATGTTAGATATACCATAAAACTGTTGTGTCGAAAAATTTAGTAATTCTTTGTGGAGATGTACACGGCAATGAAAGATGTTTAGTGAGGTGAAGTGAAATTCAGTACAGTATGGAGTGTCAGTAACAAAAGACTTTAAAACATACGTAATTTGTATTATACAGTTTATTAAATAAATGGTTACTGTGAATGTGAAATCAGCAATAATGTCATAAAAATTTAAGGTTAGATACGCGTCATAAATTACACATATCCTCTCAGTATGTTGCACCGTTTATATGATAGAAGTGTTTAATTAAATCAATGAAACTGGAGAGAATCCACAATGCAGGTAGTTTAAGGACATTCTTCTTCAATATTCCAACAGTGTGCATCGTTCAGTGTATACATTAAATACATCCTTCTAATATCTACGTGATATGTTACTGCTTTGGTTACTGCGAACAGTATAAACATGTTAGTATACATAGATGAACGATTGTCCATCGACCTTTTCATAATTAGTAATTATTTAAAAAAGAAAGAGAGGACAAACACATTCTTATGTACTTTATATTTTATAGGGCAGATCGAGATTATAATATGGGTCCAGCTACAGAAATGATGATAAATGATTTTGATGATGAACGGACTTTAGACGAAGAAGAAGCTTTAGAAGGTAGTGAAGATTCTCACAACGAGTTGTCCAACTTGCAAAAGGTATAATTCTGAGATGTCTCAGCTAAATATTTAACATATACGATGTTCACTTTGTAACAAAATTCTGATCCCAACTATTCTAGGATCAAGCCTGTGAAATGAAAAAATCAAGCCCATAAATAATTACAATTATGATAAGTTTCTGCAACACTTTGGACTCAAAGTGCGTTCTCGTAGTGAGATTCGTATGTTTAGTCGATTCGTTATATGTAGCATGGTAATCATTTGTGTTCCTGTCTTCTTTCAGGAAGGTGATATGCCACTAAAAGATCTACTTGCGATGTATGGATACGGGGATCCATCGACGGAAAATTCAAACAGTTCTGATCGAATATTAATTCCATCTGGAAGCGGCGATCCAGAAGTCGAAGGACAGTATTCAGATAAGGGAGATAATGACGCGGATGATGATGACGACGATGACGAAGCGGATGCAACGAGTAACGAGCCAGATCTCAAACAGTTTTATACAGAAATGTTGGTAAAGGGGAAAGATTCAACGTCGTTAGTATCGGGATCAACGATGAAAGGAAACAATGCCGGCGGTGTAGGTACCGAAGACAATAGCAGGCGACACAGAATTCACGATGACGACGACGACGACGAAGAAGGTGAAGGCGAAGGCGAAGCCGAAGGTGAAGGCGAAGGTGAAGGCGAAGGCGAAGGCGAAGGCGAGGGTGAAGGCGAAGGTGAAGGCGAGGGTGAAGGCGAAGGTGAAGGCGAAGGCGAAGGCGAAGGCGAAGGCGAGGGTGAAGGCGAAGGTGAAGGCGAGGGTGAAGGCGAAGGTGAAGGCGAGGGTGAAGGCGAAGGCGACGGTGAAGGTGACGGTGACGGTGAAGGTGAAGGCGAAGAATGTTCTATGATCGATGGTTGTACTAATAATGAAAGTACGAGAACGGCTTCGACGATGGGAGGTGCCAATGCTAGCACTAAGTGCAGTGGTATAACCGCACTTGCTGGTTGCACTACAAACGACAGTACCGTTGGTGGGGTAGAAGGTAGTGTCAGTAGTGGTACGGTAGATGGAGGAGAAGATGGAATAGTCAGCGGTGCTATAGGTAGCGGCACATCAAGATTGTTACGAAGCGTTTCACGACCACAAAGCGAAGAAGAAGAAGACGATTGTGATTATAGTCCGGACGAAGAGGAATGGAAAAAGACAATCATGGTTGGTATCAATTACCAAGCAGCTATACCGGAAGGTCTTTGTCATTACGACGATGCTTTACCTTACGAAAACGAGGATAAGATGTTGTGGGACCCCAGTCATATACCCGAAGAAGAAACGGAAGAATTCTTAGAACGGGCACAGCTACCAGCTGTAAAAGGTGGTTCTCTACCTACGGGGTCTCATATCAGAGACGACGAACAAGCATTATATCTACTGTTACAATGTGGCTACAATCTTGAAGAGGCATTAAGAAGACGCAGGATGAACGTCGTACCTCCAACGGATGCGGTTAGTCTTTGGTCCGAAGAAGAATGTCATAATTTTGAATCTGGATTACGAAGTTACGGAAAAGATTTTCATCTGATACAAAGGAACAAGGTACGCATGATATAACGCATCTGGTTTCTTCGAGGTGACGAGAAACAAACGTATGTAACGTAAGCATCATCGTAACAGGTTCGAACGCGATCTGTCGGCGAATTGGTGCAATTTTATTATCTCTGGAAGAAAACGGAACGTCACGATATTTTTACGTATAAGGCTCGTTTAGAAAAGAAGAAGTATGCTTTGCATCCCGGTATCACGTGAGTATTTTCTCTGTCTCGTAAAAAGAATAGTCATTTTTCCAGATATGTACAACGTTTTGGAATTTATAGTACTAGGATAATTGTCATACGTACATATATGCTTCCCTACGATTTGTTATAACGCGTATTCGCATTCTTTCTTTTCCACCTCTATTTTTTTCTTCTTTCTTTTTTCTTTGCACTAAACGAAGCTTTTATCAAATCACGTAGCTCCCGTTATCACGTTTTTTATGTTGCGATTGAAAACTCGAAGTATGACAAGATCGTTGAATCGTAAGCAGGGACTATATGGACCGATTTCTCGAGGAGCAAGAGGGTGTTCGCGATCGTAGCAGCTCACCGAACGTGCATTGCTTGTTGTACGGGGACGCGAAACGGCAAAGGTCAGCTGTCAGCGCGACGAATAACGAGGAAGGAAAATCAACGGAACCATGGGACGGTGGTGCAGTTGATCCGTTGGCAGATTTGAATGGACCAACGCCACCACCACCACCGCCGCCACCACCTCCTCCTCCTCCGCCAGCGGCACCAACCTCTGCAGTTGTTCAATCACCGTCAGGTTCAGTTTCAACTACACTGTCAACTCCTCCTATGTATTGCACCGCAGTGTCAACTCGTCATTCCGATTGTTCACCGACCGACTCTAGCTACGTTAATAACCCGCACATGTGGTCGAATCTGACGTCTCGAAGTCACTCTACCTCCTGTATCGTAACCACGATCACGATAAATACGACAACAACTAGCACCGTTCCAATGGTCACGACCGTCGGTATTACAAATACGGTTACAACAACAAGTTCTACCGTTACTACTGCTGCCTCTAACAATTTCTATCATTCGCGAGTGACGTCGAGAAGCAACGATGTGCACGATTCACCGTCGCCAGAGAACATTTTACCTCATTTACCACCTTAGCGTCGAACACGACCTTCAGGTTATCAGCCTGGAAGGCGTCAAATGTCTTTGCGCGACGTGTCTTATTTAGAACTCGCGCCATCGCTATCGTCGTAATATATAATATTCGTTAATATCACGAATTATATTTTTATACTGTATCGTAATATGATTATCGATTGCAACAGTGGAAACGTAAACAAAAGTTTTTCGCGAAACCGAAATAAAAAAATAGTAAAGTACGTTAACTGACGTTAAGGACAGTTGAATATATGGGGTAAGTGACACGTGGACGTGAATTACCGTAAGCTTGTTCCATCTTTCTGCTTCTTACTTTCCAACTACTATTGTTCCCGTAGATGAAGTTTATGGAAAGATATCAGTTTAATTTGTCGAAAACAATCCGCATTTCCAGATCTAGGAATAATTAATCAAAGTGTTGTCAAAGTGAACGAACGATAAATGAAAATCGCAGAATTGTAGCGCCGGGCGCAATTTTATAAAAGATACTATTGTACCGTTGTTCTAAGCACGTGTCTGATTGCTGATACCACCACTCTAAGTGTACAAAAATGCGATCTACGAATGTGAGAAAATAAAAGAGCTCGGTAATCGTTTCAAATGGTTAAATTAAATCGAAGTTGGACCAATGCTTACTTATTTAACAACACCGCAACATACGCAACATTCTAAGAAAAATCGTTGCCTTTATTACAAATTTTCATCGATTACACCATAAATAATTCTGGAACATTTACTTGTTCCCCCCGTTTTATCTATACTGCGTTAAATCTAAAGATTCCACAATGGTTTTCAATAGCTTTCCCATCAGAGGCAAGAATTGTATGCTGCTAATGTTGGTCGTAAATCGTCCCGTAGTGAACACATTCTCCTCCAGTTCCTTTCTTCGAGTTTCCTTCAATCTCGCTGGTAGAGCGGGTTGATTCGACTCGACAGACTGTTGTACAGTTCTTACGCTTCTGGTATCGGCGTTAATCAACGATCCTTTAACCTGCCAATCGTCCGGTGTACCTCGATGCTCGAGAAAATCGAAGAAAACGCCTAATTCGGTGACTGTTTCGCGTGCTATCAACTGACGATCCCGTAGAGCGATCCTTGGACTTCTGATTCCTTCCAACGCTTGGCACAATATCAACACCAGATTCACTTCCAGAGCGAATCTCGTATTGTTTTCATCCATAGATTCGAACCAAGGGTCGCTAAATTTTTGATACTTGGCTACGACAGGGCTGTCGTTGTTTCCCGCAGCTACTCCGCCGCTTCCTTTCGTCACGTGTCTACCGCTAGTCAAGGCTGTTGCTCTCGACAGAATCGTGTTCTCGCAAATAAGAGGATCGTAGGGCCTGCGCACCAGCCTCGGACTACTTAACAACGGTACAGTTACGTCTAGACCACTGACGTACACCAGAAATTCTCCTCCTACGTTAGAGGAAGATCTCGAAACGGGACCGGATGCCGCGTGGATAATTCTCCTGAGATCTTTGCTCGAATGCATTCGCCGATCTTCTGGCACAGCATGCTCCCACTCTTTCTTCGCGCTATCGGTCTTGTCGGCCGGCTGTCCACCGGTGGTGAAAGATAGCGACGAAGTGGTGATGGGTTGAGATCGAGAATGCAGAGCCTGCGTGAATAACTGCGTCGAACTGATGATCGTGCCGTAAGTTAATTGCGGCCCAGAGCTCATGCTCATCTGAGGAGGCCCGAAATTCATTTCTGCCATCGGAGTGTACCAAAAATCTTGCGTGTATATAGTGTCTACCAGAGTGTTCAGCCTCGGCGAGAAGCGAACGAAACTGAGGGCGCAGGTTGTGTTTATCACGATCAGTTTGTTAACTAGCAATTTCAATTCGCCACTTGGCGATCTTTTATCGCAAGATTCCAATTCCTCGGCACTCTCCACGCTGATACCGTCGATGATGAACTTGAGAATTCGCGGTCTTAGTAACAAATTCACGGTGTTGTCGTATGCCAAGTACATGCACTTGATCAGAGTCTCGCAGACATTCGGTTGTATCGAGTTCCAAACGTACGGTTGCGATGCCATCGTGTAAATAAGGGCAACGAGTGATTGTACCAAGTCGGCAGCCAACAGGTCTGCTGTATGTCTCAACAAAGTCGATGCAACCATCAGCTGATACTCGTGAGAATTAAGGAATATTGTGATCGATTTAACGTACATAGTAGGCGTTTCCCTAGTGACCAGTCCTATTAGAAATTCAAGACCAAGCGTGTAAAGTGGCCACCAGTCCTGGCATCGCCACTTTCTATTCGGGCAATTGTCGTACAGCGAGTCCAGCATACTATTACCGATGTCCTCAGGTGGAATCAAGCTCAACCATAGCTTTGCGATGTCGTTCTCGGTGATCGGATGCAAAGTGTACGGCGAACGAATAATCAAATTGAGCAAATTCAAGGCGGCTGTGCTAAATCTTAAATACGGATATTTTTGTAAAGTGATACCTATACAGGTCAGCAGTTCAGGTATCATCTGTCTTAGCTGGACACAGCTAGACTTTCGTTGATGCTTCGTAAGTGAACTTCGTTCGACGTACGAGCGCAAAAGTTGCGTGACCATGCAAACGGTCAAAGTTGCCGGTAAACTTTCCCGAATTCCACGAATAGTTTCCGCGTTTCTTTCGTCGGCGTTCTTTTGCGCGGTCGCGCTGTCGATCGCCCCTGTACCCGCACCCGCACCCGCACTTTTCTCCTCCGTTTTTCGCTCGACCATCGCGGGTTTCTGTTGTTTACGCTTCTGAAATTGAGTCGCGGCATCCTTGAGCTCCTCCAATTCGCTGGTAGCGATCGTGCAGGAGTGGGCTAGAAGATATTCGAGACTCGACGCGTCTTCGCGCAGCGTGCTTTTCACGCACTGTACACACCCGAGAAGCAACGAAACCAGCGTTTGACGCAAAGACTTTCCGTAACTACGATAAGCCTGCCCTATTTCTTGCATCAGTTGTGTCAGCCCTGTTTTAAAGATCCTCGAGTCATCGACGCACATTTGTTTCCAGGAAGTGATGCATCGAAGCGACAGCGAACCCAGTAACATTGTCATTTTTCGACTGGAAACGTCGCAGGACTGTTTGATTCGTTCCAGTAACGACTCTAAAGAGCGCTGCGTGATGAGCTGTGCTTGAGACACGTTGATAGGGTAATTCGTTGCTATTCTTTCGTCTGTTAGCGTGACGATAAAGTTGTACCAAGATTCCAAGTTGGTTTCGTACAGCGAGTCCGCCACATTCGCATCTCGTTTCTCGTAACTGTTCGATTCTTGGCTGTCGATGTGCGCGTCATCGAGTACATATATGGCTAGCTTTTTCCAGTAATCCTTCGACTTGTCCAAAAGTTTCTTCAGGTTCACGGTGAAATCATCTTCCAAGGTTGTACTTTTGAACAATTCTAAGGTGATGATATCCAACAGATGAGAGTAGCCTTTTACACCTGGCACTAGGTCTCTGAAAAGTGGAGCGAAAAGATGGGTCCAAAACTTCTCCCGTTTCCGGAAGAAATTCACAAGAATCTCGTTCCTGTGATACCACATTGCTCGCAGCAACGCCATCGTGCTGTTGTACAACCTGTCGTATATAATATCCTCCTTTTCGTAGATCCGATTTAGATACTTGACCAGAAATTGTCTACATCCTTCTGTGAAAAATTCCTCCACCGATCGGGGAAAGATCCGTTTGCATTCCGCTGGGTGTACAATGTTGAAGAGGGCTTCGGTCAGACCAGGTTGCTTCTCTAAGCATACAGCGACCAGCTCGAGAATGGCAACCTTGACGTCTGCGACGCATGTCGGCGACATCAGACCTCTGCGAGAAGCAAAAGTCTCGCGTATAGCCGTACCGTCCATTCCCATGCAAACTAGCAGCGACATAGATGATCCTTCGGCAAATTTTTTCAATAGCCTAACAGCCATCGCTTGTAAAGGTGGACTGAACCAAACGTACAGATAGTTAACTATCGTAGGTACTATCAAAAGACCGTTTGGTACACGAGGCGAAGAATACAAGGCTGCTTCCAGCGGCGATCTATCTCCTATTTCTAGGCCCAACGATTTTCTGAATATCAGTAATCTGTTTACCACAGACAAGGCCAGCTGCACACTTTTCATCGCTTTAAATCCCTTTCCTCGAATCCAATCTGTCTCCGCCATCATTTTGTTGTGTAAAGTACGTTCACCGGTACGGATCAGCTTAAGTAATGCGTGCCTTGGTTCTAGGTACAGTAAACTGTACGCCACGACAAGCTGTAACTCGTTCCGTATGTCTTCTTTCGGTAAGCTAGATTCAAGCGCTCTGTGAAGGCAGAACATACTTTTCAACCATAAATCGATCCGCTCTGCGTCCGAATCGAAGTACCAGGAATCCAGTTTTGGTAAAACACCTTGCAATAAAAACACCATTCCAGGTATTTCCACTGTATACAAAGCTTCCTCGTTGTATTTTCTGATTAAATACTTGGATAAAATGTCCAAATATGCGTTCAATATTGGATAAGAATGAGCGATCGTTTCTATCGCGGATAACCACGATGCGATTATGCCGCCATCGAAAGAAACTGCTTCCGCAAAATCTAACGTTTTTTGGTAACGATTGTTGAACCTCGGGTAAACGCCGGCACGCATTCGCGATAAAATTTCTTCTGGATATTCCAATATAAGTTCCGACGAAATACTGATGCAAGCTGCAACTACTTTATAGATGTACATCTTTTCGTCGGGTAATACTGGATAGGAAAATCTATTTATGATTTCGAAACTTAATTCCGTCGGAATTACCATACTTTGTCGTATCCCAATGTACTTGGCTAATCTTTTCAACAATTTCAACCCTTGTGACACGTGCTCGGGCATATTTTTATTCAATGCATTGCTAGGTGTAATTCCACAACCTGCTTGAGAAAATAGCTGTTCTATTTTATGATGTAAAGCGTCCCAATAGCTCGCTCTTTGCCGAAATATCACTACTTCCCGTTCGCTCGATAATACGCGTATATTTTCACGGAAAGAATCTTCCGATATTGTATACGGATTTTTGTGAATCGTACATTCTTGCTCGTATGGTTTCAATAGTTTGTTCTGGTCCCGTTGCCGCGGTACTTCTAGCGTTAACGATTGCAGATTATCCAGTTCCACCGCGATTTTTTCGGCACTCGATTTGGAGGCACTTGCCAAACCGATTGCAATATTTGTCAACGGTTCGAATTCATATGGAAATTGTTCGGCTGCGTATTTATAAATCAACCACAAACCATCGTTGTATTCGGCCCAGAATCGTGCTGCAGTTTCAGGAAATTGAACCGCGGCAGCAACAGCGTCGAAGATACCGTTTAGCACGTGCAATTTGTCTTCATCGACGAAAGCACACACCAAGGTAAGAAGATTATATACGCTACTTCGCACTATTTCGGCATAGTGAGTTTTTTCACAAATCATTTCGCTATTCATCAAGTCGTGCAAGTAATGAAAGACATTCTGTTGTATAGCTTTGATACCAAATGGTCTAAATCGGTTCAAAGTATCGACATTTTCGGGATCGATAGCATAATTCGATAACATCCAAGATAGAAACAGCGGACTATCTTGAGGAGAATGATCGCGAATGCATTTTTGCTCGAACGTTTCTTGCATACTATTTCTCACATTTTGTATCCAATCTTCCATGTTGATGCTATAAAAATAAATTCATTTCCACTATTAACACGATACAGTTAATTCCAAGCAGAGATAGAAAAAAAAGACCTACTGTTTTCTAACATCTAATGCTACTAATAACAGAGCAGCTTGACTGTATTGTATCTCCTTAATTTTCCTGGCAATTGCCTTCTTATCTTCGTGACTTTTTGTACTTGCTAACCGTCTCGGTTCTCCCTGTATTCATAAATTATTAAATATTATTAGATAGCAGTAACACATCCTGCCGCTATCTCTCTGCTGTAATACTTACACCGATACTTTCGTACAACTTCATAAATTCATTATCCGCGATATGTATATCATGAATGATGACTGTTAAAATATGGAGTAATTCTCTCATTTCAATAAGACTACTGTTGTACAATCTGTGTAAGTACTCTTCCGAGCATAGCTGCGACCGTACAGGTGGATTCACAGTCTTCAACATCTCTATTTGTTTTCGAACAGACTCTAGGAGTGTTCCAAACAAAACATCATCGAAGAACTTTGCAAATTCTTTTTCATAGCGATGACCCTTGTCTTTATATTCGACCATAAGTTTAAGGCACTTTATCAAGGTCATTCTTTCGGAATAATAAAAGTCCCAAATATCGTCGATTAACGCTTTCATCGAAGTGAAGTCTATGAGTTGAGACGCGAAAGTTTCCGCGCAATTCCGGTATTCATATTTTATAAAATTACATACTAGATCCCACGTGATGGTGGCATCTAAATTCTAAAAGAAATACTAAATGACGATCGTTTTTCGTAATATTTCGAAAGAAATCAAGATCGATAAAATTTGTTCGCAATACGTACGAGAAGAGGTGCGAGTTTACTAATTAACTCGTAGATTCGGGGTGAGGGATCATTTTTGGGTATATTTTGAAGCGATGCTTCCGTATATGGCTTGAAAAATAATAGTCCTTCCTTAAGAAGTTTCGTTTCCTTCTTGATTTCATCTTCGACTAGTTGTTTCTCACATCGGCACACAGTATCCGATATTAAAAACCACAACTCCTTGCAGTAACTGTATCCCAGATGGTTTTAAGACAGCGACAGTTCCGGTAGAACAAAGAATAACAGATACAGCATTTCTTTTCTTTATTATAAAAGCGAAAACAAATGTTATTTACTTACGGTAAACTTCCTACAGTAGGTACTTCCATTTCCAGTACATCGGATCCCATTTGGATATTATATTTCTATTCGATTAACAATTATTAAAGCATAACATTGTAAACAACGACGGAGACATAACCTCAATTATACTAGAGACTGATAATGTGCGCACAGTTTTCAATCATGTTCGTGTGTCGTACTGTTTTTTCAAAAAATGTCCAGATCTGTCGCTGATTGGACGATACTTGGTACGTTCCTAAAAACGATGGTGCACTAGGGACTTAAAAATAATTCACGTTGGTCATACTGGTGCAAGTTTCCCGCCAAGGATAGTCGCGCAATTTGCAAGCAGTTGTGAGTGAAAGTAAAAAGTTTTTCACAATATTTCTGGCTCTTCTGTGAAAAATATGGGGTAACGTCGGCGAGAAATTCATTCGTATCTGGTTTGTATTCGTTTTGTATTCATTTTAACGTCAATTTCAGATGTATACGCATTACTACGCATATTTAAAACAGGTGCGCAATACGTCTGACAGTTGAACCGAGCGTGGATAACGATGAAACGCATTAAACGATCACAAATAACTCGAAAATTAAATTCGATTAAATGTTCCTTAATTTTAATTTTATTTAATTCGACAAATTTCATTTGTTACAATTCGAAAATTTTGCCTAACCTATCGTAAACGCAGTGTTACGATTACTCGTTGAATTTCATACGTTCATATCGAAGATGAAAAAAACGTGGAAGTTTTTTGCCCGATATTGCAAATAAAGATAGAATAAAGTTTATTTTATGTTACACGCACGCATCTGCCGGTGAAAAATCACGAATCGTAAAGATAGAACTATTTGTGTTGCCTTTGCGAAAACATAACGTATGTCCAGCCAGCGTTGACGGATCGTGGACATTCGGAAGGAATTATCGTTTGTAACACGTACGAAAGAAAAATGGTTCCAAGGAGAAGAAGGTAGAAAGGGAAGAGGAGTGTGTATATATATATATATATATACGGGGTGTCGGGGAAACGATCACGGATACATTTGTAACAGTTAGCGAGCAACCTGTAACTGGTTACAAGATCGTTGACAACTGGCTAGTTTATCCGTGGGATTATTGGTCGATGTCGGACGATCGCAATTTTCCTTTTTGCACAGGATCGTTATCCATGAAAAGAAGCTGGCAATATTATCCGTTGGAAGTAAGTGGTTCGCGTTTATTACGAGCAATAGAGCTTAAATCGGTTAAAAGAAGAACAACGCGAACGCGCGGGCGCGAATCAATTTCGTTGGACAGGTTTCGAAAGGAGCGATAAATTTTTCGTGGAAACACGTTAGTAGCTCCCCCGAGGTTTTATCGTTGATATCTCGTTGTAGGAGAGGGAGCCGTTAAAGAAGAAGCGAAACGATTTTGATGTAACAGAGGTGGGTAAAGAAA